TTTTCCTATATCCATATTCAAATCCCATTCATATCTCAGTACAGTATATGTCAGTAATTGCTTACTTACACATGCCATTATGTCCCAATCATATCCCACTTATAAAATCGTTGGTGAGTTTTTCCAGCCATGTTAGATCAACATTATATAATGCTATTTACTTATAGCCCATTTATATCCCATTTATATGTATATGCATATATATATATATACACATGGATATTCCATAAATGGGGGTACCTCCAAATCATCCATTTTCACAAGATTTTCCCTGAAATTAATCATCCATTTTTGGGGTACCCCCATTTACGGAAAATCATGGAACATCCCTATTTTCCGTAATTTTCGCATCATTTCCCTAAGAATTTCCCATCATTTTTTATATCCCGTTTATATATATATATATATAAATACATGAAATAATATCTAAATAGATATCATTTAATAGATATATATTTAAAATAGATATCTCATTTAATACATATACATAAATTTCCCATCATTTTTGATATCATTTAATATCTCATTTTCCATGATTTTCCTGGAGGGATCAAACACCAGGGAGATCTCCACAATACATCACAATACCAGGTCTCCGGAGGGCAATGAGATCTCGGCACAGTTGAAGCCAGGTGGCCTGCGAAGATATGTGAAAAAAAGGTCCTAAATTCACGGAGAAAAGCCATGGTTAACAGCAAGAAAACCATGGTTTACTGTAAGGAAACCATAGAAAACACCTGGTGAAACTTTGCAAAGCAACCTGAGCGGTGGCGAAAACCCCTATGTAATTCTCTTCTAATTCTACTGTCTTCCGCGCGGTCTTCCGCGCTGCTTCCGCGCCCACAGTTTCAGCATCTGCGGATGATTGGTAAGTTGATTCTGCTTCCGCGGAGCTTCCGCGAAACCAAGTTCCTCATGAAGATTATAAGTTGAAATCGTCTTCCGCGGAAGAGCCGGACGATCAGCGTCTACTTCCGCAAGCGCTTCCGCACGCTTCCGCGGACGTGGGTTTCACTTTCGCAGGCCAAACTTTGTTTCATCCTCATATATAACTTTCTTAGCTGGAGGTGTTTGATGCTGCTCAGCTGAGTTGTTAGTTTGTTTGGATCATTTTGGATCATCAAAATAAAACCCGCACAAAACACTGATTTACTGTAACACACCGTTTTTGCACGTTAAATTTTGATGAAAACTGGTTTTGAAAGCAACAAACCAGTGGGGACTCTGATGGCCAGTAAAGTGGGGACTGAGGTTTTGCCATGGCACTGGCACTGGTTGTTTTCAATCGGTTTAATCCACGAAACATGCTGACTGCAACAAAAAACACTTGGGTGTCGAAAAAACAACGATAATGAATCATGAGTTCGGAAACTAAAGCACAAACCTAGGACTTTGACCACGCTTCGGTTCTTACGAAACCGCTGTGGATTGAGAAGGGCGGAACGAACTGTCCTGAACCATGACGCTTTCCACTAGCCGCTGGCATTGTGGGGAAAACGCGAAGGATCTTAGCGCATTGGATCCCTATGTTGGGCCGCCAAAATCAACAAGGTAAACATAAGCCCAACAACTCGGGTTTATTGGATATACAAGACACGTATCATATATATATAATATATATATATATACATAAATATATTATATTATATTATATACTACATGATATTATATAATACAGTATAGTCGATGGAGGTTAGAAACCAAATCACACACTCCAGTAACTTGACATAACTATGGAACATGATTCATTTATAGGCTATAGCTTTTACATGGTTTTTCCAATTTACCATCAAACATACTAAAAATTATGACTTTCTATAGCTAAGTTGAATTACCAGAGAGATCCAGAGAGTACTGGGCAGCACGCGCTCGCTGTCTGAGTCTCCAAACAGCATCTCCCTTGGCGTTTTTCACCTGCGAAACGGAGAAACAGATTTCTGTGGTGTGACCTAGAAAATACGTCAGGCACCAACAAATATAGCCCACAAACATCCACAAGCAGATGTTATTTTAGTACTAAACAATGCCTTGTTTGAAGATGTTTGAAGAACATATTACAAGCCATACCCAGTCAGCTGGGCAAACTATGCTTATTTCTAAACTGGAAATATGCGGTTTTTCTCCACCTGCCAGGTGAGGGACTCTAGATGAACTCCTTCTCCTTCTTCTTCTTCTTCTTTTCTTCCGCCTACTCCTCTTCTGTGTTCTCCTTCTGCCAGTTCGTCGGGACTGTTGACATGAACAGATCCGAGCCATGTGGCGAGCTCCGGATGCAGTGGGCCACGCCTGGACCCAAACACATGACAAATAGAATGTCAGAATGAATGCCTGAAAAGATGCCATACAGAATTTCCAGAATAGATGCCAGAAAGAATGTCAGATAGAATGCCAGAATATATTACATATATTCCATATATACTTCCAGATGGTATGTCAGAAACTATGTCAGAATAGTGTGTCAGGCTAGGGATCACTCGAAGAAAGTAATTGGGTTGGTCTCCCCACAAATAATCGATCTGAAATGGTGCCTCCAATCACGACCAGTAAATTTGGGGACTAAAAATGAATGCAAAATCCCATCATTTTGATCAATGTTTTTCCCGTTACCTCCATTTACATTTATTGATAGTAAGGGAATCCCCAGCTATATCCATGTTTGATGACCCGAGGCGGTGCTCTGGTCCCATCCCGGCATTGTTGGCTGACTCGATCTAGAGACTGATGCGTAAGGTTGATGGCTGAAAATGGCTGGAACCCTCACTCAACTCAGTTTTTTTTCCGGAAACACAGTACCTGCACGAAAAGGCTTCAACCAGTCAACCATGAGTTAACTTTGTATGTCCTGCAGCATGGAACCCAAAAAGCTGTGAGTATGGACAAATAAATAGTCCAAGTCCAAGAATCCCTTCCCCCCAATACTAAACACCCCCCAAATAATAAACACCTCAGGTAGTTTTTATTATTAGTCTGCAAAGCTTCTCCCTAATACTAAATTAAACGCCTAATATATATGTTTTTTCTATGTCAAAATCGCTTAGATTTCCTTTTAAAAAATCTAATTAAAATATTGCCAAAAATTGGATTTCAAAGCTTTCCCCTAATACTAAAAAACCTGATATAAAAAAACATATTTTTCTATTTCAAAATAATCTAATTAAAATATTTCCAAAAATTAGATTTCGAAGCTCCCCCCCAATACTAAATTAAACGCCCTAATATAAAAAACTTGTTTTTTCTATTTCAAATCGATTAGATTTCCTTTTATTTAAAATCTAATGAAAATATTGCCAAAAATTGGATTTCAAAGCTTTCCCCTATATAATACTAAAAAACCCTAATACAAAAAACTATTTTTTCCATTTCAAAATCGATTAGATTTCCTTTTAAATCTAATCAAAATATTTCCAAAAAATTGATTTCGAAGCTTCCCCCTAGTACTAAATTAAACACCCTAATATAAGAAACTATTTTTTCTATTTCAAAATCGATTAGATTTCCTTTTAAATCTAATTAACATATTGCCCAAAATTGGATGTCGAAGCTTACCTTTACCTAAAAAACACGTTTTTTTTCTATTTCAAAATCGATCAGATTTCCTTTTAAATCTAATTGAAATATTGCCAAAAATTGGATTTCGAAGCTTTTCCCTGATACTAAATTGAAAACCTTAATATAAAAAACTATTCTTGCTATTTCAAAATCGATTAGATTTCCTTTTAAAATCTAATTAACATATTTCCAAAAATTGGATTTCGAAGTTTTCCCCGAACATACTTGTTTTTCGACCTTAAAAGCCGGACCCTAATAAAAAACACACCGGGGTTGACTAGTTTTTATTATTAGGGAGTGAAACCCTGAAATGGTCGCTTCATTTTGTTTATTTTTCTAAAGGGGATCAATTAAAAATCAAATTGGCCAACCTCAAATTTTCCAAATTTGGAGTTCGACCCTAGTTGTTATTATTTGGGGGGTTTAGTAATAGGGGGACGGGATTACTATCTTTGGGGCTGCATGGTACCTCACAGTGCTATTCACGCTGGGATCGCCATCCAATTTGGCTGGTCTTTACACAATTTTCACCATGTCTTACCAAATTTAGTGGCTAAATGGAGTGGTTCAGTGTCCTCAGATGTGCGTTCCAGATAGTAAGTGGTTTACAACCTATATAATATATAACCATATATAACCTAGATATACAACTATACAACCCATATTAATCTGTATACAACCCATATTAATCTCTACATACACTCCATTAATATATCCATCTAGGACCTATCAAAGCCACGTGGGATCTCGCCGGCGCCCGACCCTCTTCCAGTCCAGGGCAGGGCCGTGAGGCCACTGGAAAGGTCGACTTTCGCAGACCTAGAAAATACAATGGAAAAAACGATGGAAATTCACCATTTTTAAATTGTATTTGAATGGGATTTTATAGTGATTTAATGGGATTTGAATGGGGTTTACCATCTGGTAATTTGTTACATAGCTATGGAAAATGGCCCAGTTGAAATAGTTGATTTGCCCAGCTGTAAAATGGTGATTTTCCATATGTAACAGTTTACCAGAGGGTATCACCAGGGAAACTATGTTTGTTTTGTTGGAGATGTTGGATATGTTTGCTGGATATATTTGGAAACCATCGCCATGGTTTTTCCTCTTGGATTTTGTTGGACTATTTGTGTCTGCATGTTTCTCAGCTGGGGTACATGTCTTGGAGCCACGTGATTCATGATTCTTCTGTGTGGTACTGCGGTGTTAGTCAATACAACTGGATTCGTTTGGGAGGACCATCATGAACTGAACTTGTCCCAGAAATTCAACGCTCCGGCTGGATAATCGCCCCACTGGTCCTTTCCAAACACCAAAAATTGCTGAAGCCACACACTCTTCAATTTCCCCTTTTTCAACTGGCCAACTCCAATTTTTGAAGCTCAATTCCCCCAATCTTTCATTTGATGCCGCTTGAACCTGCCAGCATCTTGATCATCCCGCAAATGATCCTAATGGTGACTGGCATGGTAAGTTTGGTACCACAGACCCTGCCATGACCGCCATGACTTGGGGGTTGGGAAAACGATGTTCCTCTTGAATGGGTCCATTCTCAGAGTCTATGTACCAATTGTTGGAATGGGCGTCCGGGAAAATCTTAATCGGAAACCATCGTCTTTACATGTTTTTACCCAACACAAAACAATGACTTTTACAATCTTCAAACCCAAAATTGGCGGTTCCTGTAGGTTTCCCTTTCATCTCACCATGATCACCTCACCTCCTGTCCCTGCAGCAGCATGGGAATTCCTGGAGCCGTCATCACTAAGACAAGGCCTGGCGACTTTGGGAGAAGTCGATGGGTCTGTGTGCAAAACCCGTTGCAGATCATGGATCCAGCTTTGGATAGGTTCAGTGGATAGGGATGGATAGGGTACGTCAAAATAAAGTCCGGTTTCAAGAACCAAGAATGGTTCTGGCTCTGGCATCGGATACTGTACGCCAAAATACACCTTAAATGATCAAAACATATTCCTTTTGGGCACCAAACAAATGCTTGAAATCATTTTCGATTGATCCCCAGATTCTTCGTGGTGAGATGTGGATGTCACCAAGAAATGTCTGGGATACAACCAATGAACCGGGCTTCTCAAAAACTGATGAAAATGGCATATTCTGGACATGGCGAATCTAACAAGGGACAAAATCTTGCCTAGAATCCAAGACTTTCCAAAACTTCCGCTGGTTGTCAGCAGGGCAAGCTAGTCTGGCAATGGAAAGTCACCATCTATATCCAATTTATTCCATTGCTTCTCCCGTCAACACTTGAAATGTTCCATCGCTGGATTTGTCACCGAAGGGCTTTTCACGACAACAGGTCGACATTTGAATTATTCATACTTTACCTGCCAACTCAGGTGGTTGATCTCTACATATGGACCCCCTCCAGTAAACATGGCTTGCTGGAAAATCCACCATTTGTAGATTATTCTTCCAGCAATATGTAAACCGGATTTCCCAGCTAGCCGCGTTTCATTATCCAATAGTTGGTTAGCTATATCAGTTATATCCCATTATATCCTATTAATATCCCATTAATATGGCATGAATATCCCATTAGATATATAATGATATATATATATATACATAATCTCTGTGAGTCTGTACCCCGGAAGGCCTAGAGCTGTCCGACGTGCAGCATAGGGGTTCTGTGCCACCTGCCAAAGGGAGTATGCAGTATGTGAGTCTGTTCAAGAATGGCTTATACATTTTTATCGTAAGTTATACAATGTTATACCCTAAAAGTTGCTATTTCATGATGAACATTGCGATGTTTAAAGCAGCCTTTGGTGTACATAGAGTGTTTGGACAAAGCTATAAAGCCATGGCCAGCTGTCTCGACATCCAGGCAACTTCACCCAACTAACTATCATTTACTGTAGAAAAACTAAGATATATATATATATATTATATGGGGCATTGCACAAATAGGTTTTGTTTCAAAAAGAGCTTGGTGGATCAGCAAATATCTATACCTGATCACGTATGATGAGGTCGTGAAAGGTCACTCGAGTTGCTGTGTTTCTCCTCGAGAAACCGTCCAACTGGAATGGATGGTTTGTCGAGGGTTGTTTGGCAAGCACTATCACTAGCAGATTCATGTCCGCATATCACGCATGTATAGGTATTACATGGTATTACATCTATGAAGGGTTCATCTCGCATGTACTGCTGATTTTTACACCCTGACAAGAACGAACCACATCAATCCTTGATCATTGCTCAAAGATTGCAGCAGTCTGAGGGACACTTTGCAGGAACAGCTGGAGCACATGGATGTTCATCCCCCTATTCATAGGAAAATGACATGAAAAACATATGTTCCCCGCATGGGTAACCAACGAGGGTGGAGTCACCAGGCGATGTTGGGAATTCCACGAGGTATTCATCACTTTCCCCATGAAATGGCCGTATCTTTTTTGGGGGGGTCGGTCTTCAGCATTTTCCGGCCATCAAAATCAACCAATGGATCCAATGGTCTCTGACATCCCATCGACACATCAACCAAGTGCCATGTGCCCACATGTTTTTTTGATAATTATAAATCATGGTCGAGTCTCGTTTTTGCCATCCGGAAAGAAGCCAGTTTTTCAATGTCAGGGATGGTCTCAGGTTGCTCTCGGTGCTGCCTCTTCTTCATCGGGATAAGGCATAGCATTTCCGACCTGCCGAGGACATGGGCACCAATTGGCCAAATGTCATCCCTTTCCCCTCGAAAAATACTACCCTAGACTAGAAACCATGGCTTAGTATTGGAATATATTGGATTACATGTCAGAAAAACAATGCACCAGGGTTTGGTCCATCTAAGTGCAGCAGGGACCCCCTGGGGCTGGTAGGGCCCTACCATAGGTCAAGCTGGGATTCTCAGGAAAATGGGCACACTCTGGCAATGGAACAGTTTGCTATGGAAAACCACCTCTAATTGATACGTAAATCCTGTTATCCCTATTTAACTGGCAATACAGTGGGAGGTATCTCCCATTTTCTGACACAGCCAAGAGTCACATTATTCATTGCTATCCCTTGATCTTCGCATTTTATCCCCAGACATGGCACGTTATTTTAATCATCTTCCCATATTTTCCCCAGTAGAAGGCCATGATTCGGGAGATGCATTATTTTGTCCATTATTTTCCCATATCAGCATATGAGCGATGCAAGTTATTTGAGGTCACTGCAAAAAAAGGCAGGGCGGACCCAACTTTTTTTTCCATTCCCTGACCTCGTTTTCTAACGCCGCACTTGGCATACCATCTGTGCGAAATCTGATTTTTTAAGTATATATCACCGCGTTCCTGATTAATTATGAGGTTTTTATGTTCGCTTAAATAAAAGCCGTTGCTCATATGTTAATGGTTACAGACTTGGGTTTGTCTGGACATAGGGCACCCCAAAATACAGTGGTTACTCATCGGTATCCCTTTTAATTCGCCATAAAATGACCATATCGGGGAGTATAGCCAATTTACAGCCACACCCAGGAATCATAGTCTCATAGTATTGGTTTACCCCCGTGATATCACCATGATATCAAAAAATGGCAATATAATGCAATGTATATATACTGGTTGGTGGTTTCAACCCCTCTGAACCATGATAGATATACTAAACATAACATATCACCATGATATTCATCTCCTATGCTTTCGCCATGAAAATATGGCCAGATTTTCACCATCCGATATTCCCAAAGAACCGAAGAACTTCACAAGGGCTCCGGGCTTGCTGAAAGGCGTCGCCAGCTTCCTGGTTGGAGTTCAATCCCTGGTGGTTTATCATGGTGTTTACCATCTGGGAATTGGGCATGGCTACTGTATGTTTACCATCTGTTTATTTGATAGGTAAATCATCTAAAAACGCTTCATTTTCATCCATTTCCCATAGCTATTTGGGTTGAACCTGGGTATCATTGGGATTCAACCCCCGTTACCTTGGTGACCCCCAAACAAAAAATTGGGTCGCATAAAATGGGGGTTCCCGAGAAATTGACCACCAAACATGTGGGAACTCACAGATATTAATGGGCATAATGGGTATACCAACTCTAATTGAATGGTAATGACATATGTAATGACTCAATGACCTGTAAATCATTTATAAATTATACCCGTTGGTCATCGAATCCACCTTGTTGTGTACGTGTTCAGACATGAGCTGACGAAATGGACGTGAGAATGGCCGACTAGAAATATCATTATATGTCCACATCAGAAAAACTGAATGACCAAGAGAATACCGTTAGCCCAACGTGTGCGAAATAGGAGCCTCACATGCTTGGCACAGATATCACACAACGGCTCAACCAGAAACTGGTTGGCCTCTCCACATGTGCAAGTACCCCATGTTGCATCAAGGGTGCTTAGTTCTGCCTGCAATCATTGCCAATCTTAGATACCCTGCCAAAAAATGCTGGTTAGTAGATATTCCCATTAATACCAAAAGACTAAAGGATTAAAGTATCCATGTAAGATTGAGCTAGCAATGATGCACAAGATATCCCCATTTATGGCCCACAAAAAGGTTTTAAATACATTAAAGTACCTTAAGTACCCTGTAGCCATGCAGGGTTTACTCATTGATATTCCGCCATTAACCACTTGGTTCATCCAGCTGTGTCCATGTTGTTTTAATGGAAGTCAGATACAGTAAATGTTATATTGTTGAAGTTATTTCAAAGTAAATATGTATATATAGATATACACATGTTAAACACTATCCTCCATTCGTGATTTAACGCTGTTTCATGAGTTATCACACTTTTACATAAAAAGAATCAAACCGTGTTACCGTGTTGTCATCTACAGTAATATCATGTAATATCTATCGATCTATCCGTCCATCCATCTCAGATCATCCACTCAGAAGCCCGTTGCGAACATGGTCCTCAACACCCTCAGGTAGGAAGGACTTGCCATTGTGCACCGCTGCGGGGACCTGGGAATTGTCCACAAAAAAAGGTGGTGGTTGAAGGACGAAAACATAGGGATTTAATGGGTGCCATGGGCTATTTCATGGGATCTATACGGATGTATCATTTATTTATGTTGGCTAAGTTGGTTTAGAACTTCAGTATATATATAACATTATTTAACTATATCATATCAAATATTATGTATATATATATAAATTATATATACATATACATAAGTTGTGTGATGGTTGCAGGATCACTTGGAGCAATTTCAATGCGAAATCGCAATGGGGGACTTAGGATCCATGGTCGTCCCGGAGAAAGATTGCTCTTTCAGACAAATTTCACTAACATGGGAAGATGTTTGATAATATATATATATATAGTTTAATATTACATATATATATATGTATGTATATATGTATATATGTATGGCTCTACTTTAGGATGATCATGAATAATTTAATATATAATATATAGTTGTGTACAGTGTCCACACCTACGGATAGAAAACGATAGAACATACATGGTAAGCAAAATTCTCCTCGTAACTCATGTGCCCATGTTCTGTGATTGGGATACCTTCTGGAAATTCATCATTTACTAGCTTCGAAATTTGAAACTGGTTTGGTGGTATACCTACCCCTCTGAAACATATGAAAGTCAGTTGGGATTATTCTTCCCAATATATGGAAAAATCCATTAAAATCCATTGAAATCCAGGAAACCACTATAATCCATTAATCCCAATATATGGAAAGTCATAAAATTCCATGGTTCCAGTCACCACCAACCAGGAAATACCATGAAGTTTCATGGGAATCCCATCGGGATCATCCCTACCGGCCCCTTGGGTTTCACGTCTCGTTGGGGCATCATTATCCCAAGCCAAACCACTATGGAAAATCACTCCGAAGCATCATTAACTACTGTGTTAATCATAATGAGTTAAGCATGAGTGTCCCCTGATCCAAGTATTTTCCCAATCTGACTTTCGTTCTTATGTTCATACAAACATCTCACGTTTGCAGTACCCAAGGTTGACGTAGCCAAGTTTGAGGAGTACCCTTGTGAATGGACAGAAAGCAGGAGAACAATAATATGAAACAAAGCAACGCGATTCTGCAGACTCAAGCAATGAAGATTTCACCAACAACAACTACTAGTAACTTAGGCTTCCTTATCTTTCCTCTATAAACAGCACCCGTTTGGTGATTGTACAACCCCTGCGAAAAAAGTGAAGACTTATGGCTAGAATACAGTCATTCACATACCCAACAAAAATACAAACTGAAACGCTATTTTCAGCGGGAATTTCAGAACCCTAAAACAGAGGTACTATACTATATTGCTGGCCATCTTTTGTCGGGAATTTCCGTGAAATTTAGCCCATCGATATTTTATGATATTTTGTTGGATGCCTCAGCGAGATCGTCATCGTTTCCGAGAGATTACCAATTTCCGAATTGTTGGAAGGTATATAAGAACCATCTCTCCTCTCTAGAGTCTACGAATCTTATTCTGGCTGAATTGTACCCTCTGGTAATTTAACATAGCTATGGACAATTTCCCATTTATACTGTGTGTGTGTCTCTGTCTCTACATCACTGTAGTTGCAGCCAGGGGTGCCACCGATTTCAGATTCATTTGCAGTCACTACAGTTCATGCCTCAAGTGTTTTTGTTTCCAGCAATTCCTCTTATGTCATAGCCATGGTTGGCAGGGTTGGCATGCTATTGAGCGTTTGGTGTGCTGGGCCCACTGTTGTCATGTTTCAAAATGCAGCTCTGCTCTGGCTGTATGAATCAGAATGGTTCAAAGCAGCAGGGTTGTAGAAGACGGCGTACCTATTGTTCTCAAAGCAGGTTCAAAAATAGATAGCAACAGGAGACAAGCCATGTAAACTCATGCTACAAGACATATCATATAGGTATAGCAGAAGCTCCATCAGCCAGACAGTTTCAGTAGATCCTTTACTCATGTCAGTAGCCGCCGAAGCCGTGGCCTGCTTGGCAGAGAAGAAGGTGACAGAACTCCGAGCAGCCCTTCTGCTGAACCAAAAGCACATACGAAATTGCCAGCAGCAATCTCGCAGAGAAGCTGCCTCGCTGCTCAAAGGCGGCCTTTCTTGCCACTCTGAGCGAAAAGTTTTGGCCGTCTATGCTTTGTCAAACTGGGATTTGAGTTTGGCTCTGCGAGCGGCACAGCGGCTGTCCCGATTGCCCCACTGTTCTGCAGCATTTCCAACATCAGATTTTGTCAGGGCTCTCTTTCGTAACCACACTTGGGAGGACTTCTTGATGTTACATGATGAAGGCTCCGCACTTTGGGGACCTGCCCGAAAGTTTGCACGGCAGTTCCTCCTGGAACACGATGCTTGGTGTTGGGTGAAGCGTCAAAACCTTTCTCAAGGCGTGGCACCATCAGCGGCAGATGTGTTTCATTACTATGAGAACAAGGCGCTTCAGGTGGAACCTTGTGGACAGCCTCGCCGCAAGACTGTTAACAAATGGGTTGCTCGTTGGCGGGCTCGGTGGGGTGTTCGCAGGGCATGCCTGCGGTCAGCTGACACAGTGGATCCCAGCATTTTGCGGGACAAGGCAAGAATGGGCAAAAAAGCCGGGTCGCTTTTTTGGAACCCTTTTTTGGTTGAAAATGCAAGCATCCCTGGTTTCTGGGGCCGCTTTTTGGGACACAAATGGGTCGCTTTTCTAGGGCCCCAAAACATTGTACTTGAGCCATTTTTTAAAGTCTTGTTTGCCACTTTTTTGAGACCCGAATCTTCGTTTTGTTGCCAGGTGAAGGCGTTCTGGAGATCCATTGCCTATGTGACCGAGAAATTTGGCCACCAGGAACTGGTTTGGATCAACTTCGATGAAACTTCTGTTCCTTGCTGTCCACCATGTCCGAAAGGTTGCGTGGTGAATGACTGGAAGTCTTACCCCGTGCCAGGGGGTCCACAAATGCCGGTCCCCAAAAGTCGGCGGAGGATCGCCTACACATACGGGGCCTTGCTTTGCAGTCATCCGGGCATTCAAGCGGTGCTGCCGCACTTCCTGGTTTGCAGCGAGAAGAGGCTTCCCCAGACTGTCGCCAAAGGTTTTGCAGCGCTGCCACCGACGAGGTTGCGGCTTCTTCGCAGAAAATCTTCTTGGGTGACAACAGATTGCATGATCCGAATTTTGGCAGATGTGAGAGAGGCGCTCCAGCCTTGGCTTCCAATGGTTAAACCAATACTCGTTTTGGACACAGCATCTCCTCATCTACCTAAAAGGTTGATGTCTTTTGCCAAAAGGAAAGGTTTTCAGCTTCTTTTTGTGCCAGCTTCCAGCACTGGCCTGCTACAGCCGCTAGACACCAGTGCTTTCAGTGCATTCAAGCATTGGATAAAAAGAAAAAACCAGCAGCTGCGGCGCACCGCCCAAGGCGGTGAACCGCAGCAGCTTGAGTTTCTGTGGCAACTGGGTCAAGCTCCTCGAGAATTTTTCGCCAGCAGACAATGGGCCCACGCTTTCGAAAGCGTTGGGTGCGGGCGAGATGTGACAAAGTTGCATTCCGCCTTGCGAAATTTCATGCAGAATCCAGTGTCCTTACCGCTTCCTGCCAAACCCACTCCGGCAGAGATGGCTCTCATTTGGCCTAAAAGGCGAAAGATGAGCTATGCGGATGCATGTTTGTTCTGATAACACCAAAGGTGTTGAAGTCCAGATCTGCTGTTGCAAAAAGGCAGATGCAACCGGAGAGCAGCAAGTGTGACACTGTAGTTGATTTACCTCTTAAAGATGGTGATTTTCCAGTTCGCTACGTTAAATTACCAGAGGGTAATCATTCACGAAGCTGAAAGTAGCGAGGTCACAACATCCATTGGATTCCCACCATATCCCCACTGTTACCATCATGTTTGTTGGTTGAGTCACCACTTTTGACGGTTAAATCACCTTGTGTTTTTGTTGGCTAAAGTTCCTCCAGGTTTTATGGCCACGTTGGTTATATAACCCAATATTGTTGCTTCTATTCCTAATGTTTCTTGGTTGAGTCCCCAATGCTTCGCCAATTTTCAAGGCCAATAAGATGCCATCTGGTTGGTGGTTTCAACCCCTCTGAAAAATATTAGTCAATGGGAAGATTATCCCATGTATTATGGAAAATTAAAAATGTTCCAAACCACCAACCAGCCATTACTGTGTACCTTAACCGACTGAGAGGGCCCCCACACGACCATAGCGATCACAGGCAGCGGTATCGTGACTTTCCTCAGTGGAACGGTTCCACAACGATCTGAAAGATTTTGGGACTTTCACCAGCGGAAAACTATGAACAAATGATGATTTCACCGGCAAGAATGGGGATTTCATATGGTTTAACCAACAGAAATGGGGATCTAATCCAGCAAAATTGTGAAGTTCTTTGTCCAACATGCAGGTTCGAACTGTTCTAACACGGTTCGATATTCCCAAACTGATCGCGGAGATGATCAACAGCAATAGGCCTGGGATCATAGGTTGACCATTTTGTTGTGGTAAGTGGTAAGGCCAAATTTTGAGGTTTCTGATTTGGACCCATACTCAGGCCCAATTAGAATTTCAACAACCTAACAAGCAAAAAAACATCACCTTCGCAAAGAATCATATGCTGTGGCCCAGATTTCCTAGCGCAATTTTAAAAACATGGGCGAGAAACATACCCCTATCCAAAGCTATTTTGCTGATTAGTAAGATAATGCCCACTCAACTGGTTGGGCTACTAACAGCCAAAATCAAACAATCAATAAATATCAATAGGTATTTTTTATGTTTCAAGTGGCACCTAAATAGTACAGTCCCTGCCCCAACTGGGGCCCCGAACCATGAAGACCTTGACCGGACATGTCATGGAATGGGGGGCAAATGGCGAACTGAAACACTGGGCGCACAAGGGGCAATTGCATGATAGAAAAGCCCTCCCGGAGTTTGACATGGCTATGGCAAATCACCATTGATAGATGATTTATAGATGATTTATAGATGATTTACCTCTTATATTAAACATACTTGTTTTTTTTCCATGACTATGCATGAAATTACCAGAGGATTTTTTCGCAGTGTATACGTCACGTTGTTTTTTTTTTCGATCTACCGAAGCCATGGCGGCGGTGGAAAACACGAACGGCTTCCCCAAAAAAAAAGATTGACACTTGTTTGGGCCCAACAAATAAGCGAAGAACTATGTATATACAATCCAAAAAAAACAGGCACATACATATATGTATACATATATATTTGTATGGGATTGTAGGGAAAAAACATATAAGCCATAAAAAGCACCCCTATCCCATCTCACTATATATACTAATTGGTTGATAGATTTCCCTACTATGGGCTATCATCATCCCCAGACCCCCGCTCAGTCTCCACACCACCCTGCCGCGCAAAGCATGACCACCTTGGGTGGTCGACTGGGTGTAGCTTTAGGGACTTCAACTGAATATCAGGTCTGTGTAAATGTCCTGTCAATACATTTATATAGAACTATAATCTCTCTCTCTCCATGTGTTGATATTTGTAATCGGTATATATATATATATACCACACACAGGAATACCATTCTGAATGTTATGTGGCTTGCATTTTTGAAAGGTGCCAAAAGGTTAAATGAACGGTGCAAACGCATGCAAGAATCCATCTGAATGTTGTTTTCCAGTAAAAGTGGCTGCCTCACATTCTTTGTTTGTTGGATTCATGCCCGTTGCCAAAAAGGGAAGCTTTCACAGCCTGGATGATCAAACATGCAACAGAGAGGAAGGACGGATAGACAAAACGCTGATGGTGGAACCGACAGGCAAGACTAAATTGCGAGATTGTCAAAAAACTCAAATAGCAAACAGTGCAAATATGTCAATAAACTAAACATAAGAAAGCACATGAGTTTCAACCTAGAATGTCTAAAATTTGATGCCTTTGAAACAACGTGAAACAACTATGTTTCATGTCAAATCACCAGAACCATCGCAATGACTGATCATCAACCCAAAAGCAGCATCTATTCACCAATTGGTTCTAACTCTCAACTCCATTTTGTATCGTCAAAACAATCAAACATAAGAATAAGTTCATAATATATACATATATATATATATGTATATGACAAATCCTTTTTTTGGTATCAAAATCCAATTTGACCTTCCTTTTCAACTCCTTTTCCATGCGTCCTCACGTCACCCAAAAAAAAAAACTCGACAGCATTTTCTCCCAGGCTCCCCCGACGCCCCGGCGCCAAACCGACCAGACCCTTCACCACCATGTGCACCTTGCGGAACCTCGGCCGCAGCGGATGAGTTGCAACGATTGTTCACCTCGGCCATAGCTTTTTCTACGGTGGCAATACAAACCATTCAAGGTGAAAAAAGCCGTATACACTTGTGGCAAATTTCTAAGGAATGTGAATATCAAAAATCCATAGGAACTAATAGTACTGTAGCAATGTTGCATTCCTACGTTACTTACAAACAATTATTAGCTAGAATCAACCATTGATTATTATTAATAACTGGTTCAATTGATTCTCATAAACACGTGTCAGTGTAGCATGATTATCAACCATCTTTTCATCCCGGCTCCATACTGGGCTTGCCGAACTCATCTAAGGGACTCACCAGGGCATCATAGATCCTGCGAGCATTGGCGGGGAATATGATTTTGGTTTAGTTTGTGTAAATTACATAGGGTACAACGAATTCCACTGCTTAAATCTGCTTGATCATCATTGTTGTCATAGCAATTTTTCGGCACACTCATATCTAAGAATTGAGCTTGGTATATGGATGTTCTATCCTGGGGTACCAAGTTTCCAGGGACTGTGGATGAAGCCTGAGCACGGGCCATTGATCAGCCAACGCGCCTGAAGATCATGCTTGAAGGTTTCCCAACTGAGAATGCCTGCCTCCAAGTTCAACAGATGTTAGGCCGCTTTTGGTATTGCAATCCTTCAGTTATATCATCGTTTTTGCGAGTTCTTGCCACCATTATTGTTGGTTACACCCCGTAAAACAACTCAGTGTTTTGGTGCCCTATTCCAGCCTGTTCGCTCGACACAAAATCATCCACCCCAGCACCGGTCCAGCAGAAAAGGGCCATGTCCCATTGCAGATGGAAACCAATTCCACCCCACCTTCAGTGTCACAAGTCACGGAGAGAGGCTCCACGCTCTACGGCCGGGGCTGCATTTCCACTTACCAACCTGCTTTGTTATATCAGAAGTCACAATAGCGGTGATGCTGAGTGGAATGGGAATGAAAAATGTAGTAGTTCATCATGGTTAATGATATTATATCGCAATCATAGTAGTGATGTACCAATTTCAGAGTTATATTATGGTTAAACCATGTCATCTTCACCTCTCAGCGCTGCACTCACTATGTTTCAATACATGTCTTGAACCAGCGCCCGAAGTTCCGTTTGATAACATTCCTGGTAACTTAATATAGCTATGGAAAAAACATGCATCGTAATTGATGCTAGTTGCTTTACATGCTTTCCAATTGCTGATTAGGGCATTGTTTCAAATCATACTCATCATTGAGGGAAACTGGTTACTCCCAATTCTCGCTGCTTAAAAAATGCATGTTTGCTGGTCCCATCCCCACTATTGCCCTTTAGATTCCCACTTCTTTGGGGTGTAAATCACAATTTTTGTAAGGGTTCAATCCACATTGTCATGTGTTTTTTTAATGGAGTGAATTTCTTGCTGGTCAAATCATGTTCTATCATCGCTAAGTGGCAACGATTTTTTTGAGGCGTGCCGAATCACCAGCTGGAATAATCGGTGATTCAGGGTACAGCAGTTAAGGTGATTTTCCAGACTAGATGACTAGATGTTGCGGTTTGTTCTTTGATTTTCTGATGAATCTGTATACTCCACAACCGGTGACCAGTGAAAGACCTGGCTCATGGCGATGTGTGAGTAGGTCTCTGCTTAGATGCACTTCTCTTCCATCATTGCTGGAGTACATTGGGCAAGTAAGACGCAACTGCGAAGTAGTTGCTCTGGATTACCTCACCATAGTAATTTCCCAACTTGGCGCATTTTTTTGTGAATTTAGTATATAGTAGAAAGCCCACAATTTGAAATTCACAAATTTTCAGTGGTAAAATCCACAACTCTTCGCTCAAAATCCCACCCTCTTCGCCATATATCGCATTTCAAGGCACTGCAACAGTCCATCGCCATCTTCAAGGTCCTCGGCAATGGCCTTATGGCGGATAGGTTGACTTCTGCTGGGGTAAACCATGACTCGTAAACTATGATTCGTAAACCAACCAGTTCCAAGTATTCTGAGCTCTCCCCCCCAACAACTGTTACCCCAATCTCATTGTAGGTCTCTGGGATTTGTAACCCCTGCTTGGAAGTGCGGTTCAGTGAACCAAGTGGATATACAACCATAGTTCTAGGGGCCGAAACAATAATAAACAACTTATAGGGGTTCAAATTCAGCATGGTGATACCCTCAACGGCACCAAGAGCCACCGAGGTTGGCACCAACTTCCCCTGCTGCCTGTGCCAGAGCGGGGTATGAAGATGGGAGGTACCTATGATACCTCAAGTTAAGGCCATAACCTGACTTTAGTGGGGAACACGTTGGAAATAGTGGAAAATATGGGAAGATGATGAACCATGAAATGTGGAGTGTTTTTTTTCCCAGGTACCAAAGCCACATTTGTTATTGGCCTTCAGTTTTGATCCCCAAACCAAGCAGGAAGTGTAGAAGTCCATCAATCGCAGTTCATCACACACGCATCGTGAAGATTCTCCCATCATAGCGTTGAGATCGTTTTCATGTGTTTTTGAATATATGTTGTGTGTGTGCTTTCGCCTCTTTATCCTCAATCCAAGTTGCTGAAAACCGCATGTTTATGTTGTCGTATGGGCATTTTGCTGCTGAAATTCCAATTTGATTCGTCCCATATCCACTGGTGAAAAGATATATAATTCCACACTTGTATCAACTCACTCCTAACACGGCCCAAATGTAGGGAACTATACCATGGGATATGCGAGTACTGGGCATGGGTAAATCTATCAGAGGCTGGAAAATTTAGTAGTTTGAATCAACAAACATACATACAGAATTCAATCCAGTGGTGAAGAATTGCTTAAACGACTGGTGAAAACTGTCGAAATGTATGGGCTTTAATACTGACAAGACATCTAGGTAGAAGGCTTACATGTATATATATATATAAATAAATTATACACAGTATAATGGATACATAAGGATACACAGTGACACAGTGATACTCACTATATATCTGTGTGGCCAAACTATATTGATAAGTGACCAACCAAACAGCAGACGTCGCGCGTCGCGACGTGAGGTGACACAGTTTCGCTGACTCCGATGTTTGTGGGTCAAGGGTAGGAGGGATGGGTCAACACCTATTTGTCTTCCATGTGTTTACCATGGGGGTATATAACCGTCCCCATCAACCAGGCATAACCAGGCATAACCAGGCATAACCAGGCATAACCAGGCATAACCAGGCATTTTAGTGTACCTAGGGTACAGTACCAGAGTTTTGGCCTATCACCATATCAACTCCTGAACATGGATAAATTTAAGATCCTACCGTCTGGTAATTTGATATAGCTGTGGAAAATCGCAAGTTTCCCCAAAAGGTAAATCATTAAACCATCCAGAACATGTTCCATAACTTCCAGTTCGCAAACTGTTAGATTACCGGAGGGTAAGTCCTATAACTCACCAGATCAATTGCCCAGACCCACGCCCACCATGCGCATGCGCGTAGCACCTGCAGAGCGCCACCAACTCGGACAGCAAAGACGCTCCAAAGCTGTCTTGGTCACCTCAGGGTGTCGGTTCGGTTGTGCCGTGGTCCGTTTTTCGTGTGGTATTTCGCCAGGGAGAGATCAATGGAATCTATATGAATCTATCATGGGAATTGCCATAGGAATATAGTGGGTATAGAATGGTGCCTATATATATAATTATGCATATATATATATATATGTACATAGTTATATATGTAATATGATATAATATTATCTATCTATCTATCTATCTATCTATCTATATATATATATATCTATAGATCACCAACAATGCGAAATCTTGGGCGCTGCTGATCCCATCGCCATCGCCATGGGATTCCCAGTTTTTCAGGAGTTTTTCAGCCCACAAAGGGACCGCAAAGGGACCGCAGAGTTCCCCTTCTAACGCAAGGGCTACCGCAGAGTTGGTTAGTCCTTTATAGTCCTTTACTATGTCTTCAGTAGCCAATCATTGGGCCAACGACCAACGACTCACACATATGGTCACAGAAGGCTAGACATTTCATGGGGGTATGCCATGCCCTTAGGTCAGCCACATAGACCTGACATATGATACCGGTACCTCCACAAAAAAGGTAAGGGTGAAATCACCTGGCCGACATGGACTCCCAAAGACAGAAGGCTTGGGCTCAATGATTTTTCTGAGATACTGGCTACACTTGGTTTCATCTTTAGAATTTTCATTGTATTGTGTGGAAATGGGATCTGGATTGATCTGACAATAAAATAAGGTGTCACAAACGCGTAGAATGCATCCAACAGATGTGGGAATGGTGGGGATGTGAACAGTGAACGTTAGCCATGTTGGGCATGTCTAAAACCTGGAAATACAATCAAGCTCAGCAATATATTCATGAATATTCTCATGCCACTGAAAAAAACAACTCAACATGCACATATGTATATATATATATAGTTTAATATATGTATTATAAATAAAGTATATATATAAATATATATATATATACATACAGATATATATATATATACATACACCATGATTTTGTGCATGGATGTTTTCCATTGTTTTCCTATCTTCACTAAGCAGCACTCACCGGGCTCCGCGGCCCGAGGGATACTTCCGGATGGATTTCGTGGAGTCCACGCGAAGACCGTCCACGCCAATGCCTTAGTGCTGCGGACGGTGAACGGGGGCCGTTTCCCAAGGGATCGAACCAAACTGGTCATTTTTTCAGAAATCATCAATGAAAAACTGGATAAAAACTGGTATCTTCAACTCAGAAATTGATTTTGATTAGATAGTCTGAAAAATAGTTTCCATTCCTTTTCTGTTCATTGTTCATCTTCCAAGCTTTTTCTTCAAGGGTTCTCAGTCTTGTAGGATGAAAACACTCTTGCGTTGTTTGAAAACCTGGGACAACATCAGCAATTTTGCAGATGACATTTCCAGTTCCGAGGGTGAAGTCTCCTTGGTTTCCGATGTTCCCCAAAATTCAGATGGAACCTCAAACCTGAGTAGCGAACTTCATCCGACCCAAAGATTTGTTCAAGGCGTTCCAAATTTGGTTCCATGGTGGGTACAGGAAAAACATCTTGGTCATCCATGTTGGCGAAAAATCACCTCACATGGGGATGGGACACATCGTCAAAATATCAGTCAAGTGTGGTAAATCATGGGAAGTAGGGATTCAGAAGTGAAATATGCCATAGTATTTGAAACTACCAAGACTGAACTGGAAAGTTTTTGTAGGGCACACTGTCGCTCAATCCCTAACTTTTGGGTTGATAACTGTAAATCGAAATTACACTATAGCTATATAGGACAGGATGTTCCAAACCATTGTTGACAATATCCATGCCTAATCTATCCCGAGCTGGGATAGACGCTGTTGGGAAGTTTGGGGGATTCAGCTTCCAGCAACCATTCTGACTGATATCCTGTACTCGTACTCGTACTGAACATGACATGAATTGTTGACACACGAAAATCCAATGATCAGGAAATTAAGAGTTTGCAAATTTGAATGCATCTTGACGAAAAGTTATGGAGTTCTCAAGAATCGGAAACACTCTTTCCTGTCAAGGAAGTGTCCATTTTGGAATGTAACCATCATTGAAAAACACCTTTTACCATTTTTGCTGGTGAAACCAGCATGAACAAACCAGCTGTGTCCATCGAGGATGTCTCAAATTTTGGAGCCCGACCATCCCAGCAAGGACCCAAATCTGTAATACTGGGCTATCCCCCATGGCATTGAAACAAACCCATTTTTTTGATGTTGATTTTATACCGCACTATATACATCCCACCATGTAACCATATATCATACACTCTTTTTTCTCATTGTGGTTGGTTTTACCCTCCCCCTTTCTGGATTTGAGAGATCTTGTGAGGACACCCAACAAAAAGAACACGTTCCAAAATTACAAGTTATTCCCTATGATGTGCTTAAAACAATAATACGCAATCCCCAAATCACATTTTTTTTAAATACAGTAGGTGGTATGTTTACCATTCCCAGTCATGGGTGGTAAACATGATGTTGCTTTACCAACATTAGATCATATCCAATTATTATTTGGATTATTAGCCACTAGTAACCACTAATAATCACTATCAACCCTATTGAAATTTGCCTATTTATAGTTGATTTACCCATAAAAAATGGTGATTTTCCATCGTTTTTTGTAAACGTTTACCAAAGGGTAACCACTAATAACCACTAATAACCACTAATAACCATTAACCACTATTAAACCACTATTAAACCACTATTAAACCACTATTAAACCATGATGGGTTTGCCATTGGAAAAATCAAGCATCACCGACTCAGCGCCCGTTTCCATCATGATCTCCATGGCTAACAAGGGGCGCTGCAACAACAGCTCAGCGGCGGCCAAGATGTAACGTTGGACCTGCAATCGAAAGAACCATGGGTATAATTGGGATAATATATATATATATATTAAAATTGGGATTATTATATGTATATATATATATATAACGGGATTACAGTGGGAATATAATGGGATCTTATGGGAATGTCGTTGTGAGAACGTATATATATATATATATTGTATATATATATATTAATTGGAAACAACAATGTGGGATAATAATAGGAATCGAAGGTACATACTCAATGGGTATACTGGGTACATGATGGGTACATAATGAGAATATAATGGGAATGTAGTGGGTATATGATGGGAATACATAGATAATCTAATAGATAGTTGTGAGACAATATAATACACGTATAAAATTAATATTAGTTAATGGGTATCTAATCCATATGAATTGGAAACAACCATGTGGGATAATAATAGGAATATAATGGAAATACAATGGGTATATATACTGGGAATAAAGCGTGTACATCCCATTGCATCATCCATTCCAACATTCGATCTATCATAAAGGTTGATCATATATAGATTGTTTATAGATAATCATTAACCATGTATTATTACTGGTTGGTGGTTTCAACCCCTCTGAAACATATTAGTCAGTTGGGATGATTATTCCCAATATATGGAAAATAAAAACTGTTCCAAACCATCAATCAGATGATGTTCCATGAATTTCTCTATTTTAAGGCCCAGGTGCCTCTTTCGCTATCCCTGCTTCGCACATGTTCCATCTCAATGTTTCGTCTGCAGCCCCGGAAGCTCCGGAAGCGGTTGCATTGACCTGTTGCGATCGCCATGTCCACACTGACACTGATTGAGGCTGCAGGAGCCTCCCGGCTCGGGGCCTTTCTGCCACGACTTGTAAAATCCCCAAAGGGATTGACATGTTCAAAGGCTAAGACAAGACAAGCAGGGCTGCAGCAGGGAGCCCTCATTCATGATCTATAGTAGCATGAAACAACAACTATTTGCATGATGCTAGTGAACTATGATGTTTTACTGGGAATGTAATTATAATAGCAGGACTATCATGGGAATATACAATGGATTTTAATGGAATAAACAAGGATAAACATCGGAATGGGATGTAATGTATTTTTTGGACATATATATATATCTTTCTCTATAGGGATATAATCCATATGACTGGGAATACAACTGATATAACTTATGCATACTTATGCCAAATATAGTTACTGTAATGAATATTGAACAGAATCCCTTCCCACATATGAGAACCACTTCCATTGTATGGTCCCAAATATGCGGTTGCATCCCCTACTTTTTACCGTGGTTCTTGTTGAGTTCAATGTTTGGGGGAACATATTAATGTGATTCTGGTGAGAAGATAAGACATTGTGGGATATAATTATAACATGTTATAAACAATGATACTGAGACATATACTGACACAAAGGATAATTATCTAAAAGTTGGTACATTGTGGTATATGATGGTATATTTTTAGTATAATCCTTTGGTGTATCCACATTACTGAGATATATGATATACAATGATCTGGTTGGTGGTTTCAACCCCTTTGAAAAATATTAGTCAAATGGGATTATATTTCACAACATATGGAAAAATAAAAAAACATGTTCCAAACCACCAACCAGTGATGGTATATTTTCACATAACACACCAAACAAGATGCCCAAAAGTTGGAGATGGGCATTGCTCATCATCGATTTTTAGCCTCCGACTCCTGGGAATAGGCATTTCGGCATCTATAGCGATTTTAAACATGAGATGTAATAGGGATTCAATGAGGATATACAATGGCACAAGAGAATTCAAACAAATGATGGATTTGCTACCAATGAACCAGCCAGACGTTTTCTTGATGGGGTATTAATTTATAAATGAGGGAAGGCAATGGTGATATCTGGGGATATTTCATGGCAAGATTACGGTGATAATATGGGGCTACAATGGGATTAGGTGCTCAAAACATACGTGGCATAACATGGGACAACTTCATTTTTTCAGCGTCAATCTTACTATTATATTCTTCCAATTGGATCCATTTCAAACTATGCTAAGAATTCTACTCCATTGCCTGGAACAACAGCTGGGGAAGGTTTTTCTTGTGAGAAGCCTTTGGGAATAGGACAACCATGTGGAGCCGATCATCGACGTGTTCAAAAAGGAACACACTCATGATATTGAATAGCTATTTTCAGCAACACCAACAATATGCGAAGATCATGATTTTTTTGGTGGACATTTTTGTTGATTTTTAATGTTTTCAGCTTTTTGGGGATCATTCACGAGGAAAACATTGCTGTGAGGTTGCTGTGAGGTCCCACCCAGATCCCATCTTCACCTGAGGCTTTGAAAAGTCGGGCCGTGGCCCCCACACAGTCTCCTGACGGGTCAGATAGGTCAACGTCATTTTTGGACATTTTTGGGGAGAAAAATATAGACATTTCAGCAACAAGAATGCGGATCTAGTCAACAAACATGTGGAACATGTGGATTCTAACGAAATAGATGGGATTTAAGGATGATTTGGCCAGAAACTGAGCGGAATTCACCAGACTCCACTACCCGTGGAATTGACAAACAAAACATGGAGCTTTGGAGAATAGGACAAGTCAATTGAAGCATTGGATGATGGTTAAAGAGTCACTGGGCTTTCAACCCAAACACTTCCTATTTGGTTTGGTTTGGCGAACGAAGCCTCTTTGTGCCAAACATCGGACAAAAAAAACAAACACTGGGGCAATTGTGCAACAAGATTGGCTCACCAAAGTGAGGGATTTCAGAGATAAGACATCACAACCATGAGATACCATGAGGATCAATGACAAATTGCACTTGGTGGTTCGCCAAGACCAGGTGAACAGTCCCAAGGGCGGTGCCCCTCCTGGTAATGACTAACAGTTTGCGAACTTGAACATGGCCCATTTACAGTTTATTTATATACCTCTTAAACATTGTGATTTTATGATTTTCCAGTTCGCTATTTAACAGTTTACCATGGACAATCAACATTGTTCATAGTCTACTGGTTGGTGGTTTCAACCCCTCTGAAAAATATAAAAGTCAGTTGGGATCATTATTCCCAATATATTATGGAAAATAAATGCCATGTTCCAAACCACCAACCAGTCATAGTTTACCATCAAAATTGTTACCCCCTGGTAAACATACATAACTATGGACAACCACCATTTTTCAATGGGTTCAATAGCTATGTGACAAATTACCAGAGGGTAGTAGTTTACCATACCAAAATGGGGAGTCAACCGCTGGATCGCCCCCTGCGGCACCTCTGTCAAGAACATTTGGGGTCCGTACAAGTGCGGCGCTCCTCGGTGTGACGGAGGGGGTTGTTTTTTTTGAAGCAACACACATCGATCGATATCTTGATTCCTCCGGCAAAAAATAACGATTTTATGAATACAAAGACTTTGAACCGACAGAAATATGTGTTGTTTTACCATCAAAGACCGGCGTTTTGCAGGAATGTGGCCCCTCGTGCAGAATTCGAAGCAAAACATTCTGGACAACAACAAGCTAGATACAGTTTTTCTTGAATATGCATCCCAATTGGCATGCGGAAAACAATGCAGACTGTTTTGTGTCTTAGCCCAGTTATACATAGAACATATAGACCCAGTTATCTATGGGTTCTTAGCCAGCTGATAGTTGGGATGCACATCGCAGGGTCTACTTTCTGGTTGTTGGAATTTTAAACCTGCAATGTCTCCAGTGCATGTGTTTTTCATGCCTGAATTTCATTATTCCACCAATCTCTGTATATATATAAATAATGTATTAGATGCATATATATATATAGGTATATGTAAAGTCTATATTCATTTACATTTAGATAAACTAGAGGAACATAGTACATAGGTATATAAATATAAATAAATATATGTCAATATATATTATATATATATTATCTATATATTCTATATTCATATAATTTCAGCTATGTAACATCCCCCGTGAAACGAACAAAACGGCAGGTGCCCGCACCCCACATCATGTGATTGCAAACGAAATCGATGAAGACAGCCATTCCCAGCCTTAGCACAGACATTGCACATCTGAATACACACGCAATCACAACATCATAGTAAATATATCATTATATAGGTCTCATGTATACATGTATATATATATATAAATACATATTATCATACATATGTATTAAAGTATATATATATGTTCTATATACAGACTAAAAATGTGATGCTATCAATGGGGTACTCTTTTTCATGTCTTTGCTACAATAAATGCCTCCTCTTCGGAAAAAAAAGGACCCACACTCCGCGAACACGAGGCGAAGAATTCGTGTTCCAACGGTTGAAGTCATTGGCGACAATCAAATCCAAACATCATCCTATCCCCCGTTCAACAGCCCCATTCTACGGTCCCAAAAAAGTAATAAGTGTAAATTCCCTACGGGATTAGTGAAGAACCGAGACATAAAACCAAAGATGATGAAAACAGGTTGGACGCATTGGAAATGCATGTTTCATATTGAAGAATTATAAAATGAAGCCAACAATGATGGAATAAACAGCTCGAAACACTTACCAGCTTATATGTTCTTAAATGGTCTTAAATCATTATGTCTATATATAAACATATGTATATATATATTCACCAGGATTTATCCTGAACACACGTATGTACTACCTACATGTACATACACATATAACACCAAAATGTGTGAAGTGTACATACCGCAACATATTGTCAGGATATATTATACCTCAATGATTCAACTTTGAGATACATATATATATATATATATTATACACATTCGCATCACATTTGAATCATGTTACTGGTATCATCCATGAAATTTTATCAGTGAAATATATTACGAATAAAGCTATCATTGTCTTACTATTGATACTAATATAACACTATGACGCAGTCTTATTGTATTCTTACTTAATGTTAGCTATTGATCTAACTAAAGGTTTATTGTTGGATTCAACACATTATGTATATCTATATATAAGTCTTAGATGTTAATCGTACTATAGATGTTTACTATTAGGTTTGTTATATTAAGTACCATTGATACTAGTGAAGGTTATTTAACACTAAAGTACATTAGTGTACTTATTGGCCGTTAATTAACCATTGTTGGCCGTTAATTCACCATCATTGGTACATCAAGTTCATGAATATTGTATATTCTCCAAAATGTTCATCAGTATATAATGCTCATTTATTATTATACTTAATATATATATATATTATATATCATACCGAATATAATGATAATAAATAATTAATCATTATTGGCCGTTCATATATCAATAGTTTTTAACCATCATATGTTAATATAATGTCCATGTTTTCTTCAATGGCCGCCTTTTTAAAACCGTTCAGCAGCTTACGTTCCGCGCGCCAAGGCACGTATGCGCCTTCTGCACGAAGTGCACCAAGTCCTCCAGGCTCCCGTAGAGGCTGTCCACCTTGGAAGCCGCTAGGGGCCCCGTGGGGATCGCAAAGATATCGGGAGATAGTTATATGGCAATATATTGGGATGTATAATGATGTATACATGAAACTATAGTATATAATTTATATATTGGAAATTCACCATCAACAGTGGGGATTTCATGGGATGTAATGGGCATATAGTGGGATTTTGATCATGAAAACTATAGGGAAATGTGTTTAGATGTGATTTTAAGGCAATTCGACATCAATATCGGCACATAGTTGACATAGTCTGTAGATATCAAACATGGCTCGGTGAAATGTGGAGCTTCACTTCGGCAAAGTTTTCCGTCAAGCCGTGCTCCAGTACCGGTATGCCCGGTATGCATTATGTTGGGTTTTATTCCCATTATATAAATTATCCATTCTATCATTATATCACAATGGATGGATGTATCAATGATATGCCCATGATATCAACATGAAAACCATCCCCACCAGACTTTATGTCTAACGACACCCAGCTACTAAGTGGCTGATGACATCACCCACATTAAAGAAACCTCCGAGTAACTTCAAGATACCTGAGTGATTATTTCTGGGGAAACACCTGTTCACTAGGATGCATCTCAATACCTTGGTGGTTCAACCGCAGTAAGAGGGGTGCAGCCTGGTTAGTAGCTTGTCAGTAACCCATAGGTTACTGAATTCTATCATCATACTGTGGATGGGAGAAATCCTACACAAGTTGGCAGCCATTGGTAGCTAGGAAACACAGTATAAATAACGGTTTGCAACGGGATAACTCATTAAATACCAACTGGTGCAGGATTTCTTCTAGAGCATATCCCAGTGGGTTACATCCAAGGTCATCCAAGTGCAATTTGGTGAGACAAAACGTCAGCACAGGCCTTGGATTCTACAATTCCCAAGCAGCAATAGTACTACAATTCCCAAATATGATCAACTATATTGTAATGCATTAAATAACAGTAGTGCACTAAAAAAAACACACATGATTACTGTTTTGTTCACTAAAATAACCAAAACTTTTGGGTGGTTTCCGATAGATGCCCACGTCGAATCTAAGGCCGCTGGTGCTGGCTTGACATGGCTTGACCCAATGTTTCGTAGTGGTTTGGGCTGCCAGTCTCGGAAAAAAAACAACAGGACATTTACAATAAACAAAATGGATGGTTGATAACGAAAACAATAGTCAGGTAATGATGAAAATTGATGGCAGGCTCATCACCATGTCCAGGCTGAACAAGAGTCGAGTCCAGGGGGCTATCATATCCACTGTACAAATTGATTCACATCATGATGACTTGGTAGTTTTCTGATGTCAAATCATCAAAAATTAGTTCCATCACCTTCTAATTGGTTCACACCGCAATGTTTGTATCGGTGGTTCTAGTTCGCGACTCGCTTCTATTTGAAATGCAGCGAACGAATTCGCGAAATAAGGCTAAACAAAGGTTGGCATTACTAGTCGTAACTAGGAGATTTGTTTAGTCGTGCTTTAGAGCCTTTCATCCGTGGTCAGGAACAGAGGTCGGCTAAAACCCAGATTGTCATGAGGCAACTGTAAATGTATTTTCAAAATACCGGGGAAATCTGTCAAGAATGATACATGATACGTCTGGGGAAGCCATAAAAACTCACCAAAACAAAACCTCTTCTGTATGCATGTAAATGAATCAAACAAATACAATAAAACAACATACATGCGTAATCATACACATAATCCATGTACACTGTAATGTATATACATACATATATATATATATATAGCACACACACATACATACATACATACATACATACATACATAAAAAAATAAGTGAATGTATGTATATATATAATATATATATATACTATATATATATGTGTATATAGATATCATTTACTTATGTTATCCATATTACACCGTATACCCAAGATATATACAGCACCATCGTCAAGTGGCCGCCATGAAGGAGATCACGTCGTAGCCTGGCTGCAGGCAGTGGGTTCAGTGAATCCTGGGGTGAAACAATATTTGTATATGTATATATATATATATGTAGTTTATATATGGAAAATTATGGTTTATAATGGTTTATATATGGTTTATATATGGTTTATATATGATTTATATCATATTAAACCCATTTATTGGGACAACTGTTAGTTTCTTTGCAGCTATAATAACTGCATAATTTTGCAACAATTATCCCAATAAATTGGTTTAATAACGAAGAAGTGTCCCAATTAATTGTCTTTTTGTTGGAATTATAAAATAAAGATTCCCACTGATGAATGGGTATGGAAGCCATGGACCACTGAGAAATGATTTACCGTCCTTAAACATGGTGATTAAGAAACAAAGACAAAAACTATGTTCCCTTGACAGAGGGTACAACCATGCAAGTTGACGGAAATCCCCTACAACTATGGCCATATAATTACACACGTTTTACAGTAAGTGAAATTGCAACCAATTACTGTGGTTGTTTTTGTATATAGTATCCGATATAAGCGGTTGTGGGTCCTGAAAAAAAGGTTTAACTATAACAACCAAATGGATTTATATAGACAACAACAAATCGGGTGCGAAGCAACCAACGTCAGAATTCTATATAACCTACATAAATAAAAAATAGTCGAGATATAAGTGATATAAGTTGAAAAAGGGACATTGAACACTCATTGAACTGCCAAACGTGGACAAATATGTATATAACTACCACCAAAATACATGACTATATAGACATCCATAACCAATCAGAGTTTCGTCTTTGTGCAGAACTTACCCCATTTCATGAGCCATTGAAAGGTTGGGGACTCGATTTTTGGACACAACCAAATACTATAAACAACAAATCAGCAACACACGAATCAATGGGAATTCCAGGATCCTAAAATCGAGGTACCGTACCATATTTCTGGCCATATTTTGTGGGGATATTCCCTTACATAGGCCTTATATAGGCCTTATGGTAGGTACCTCCAATTTAGGTACCTGAAATGGCCATTGAACGAATACAACAAAGATGGTGTATAGATGGGTATGAACGGGATAAACAATGGCAATAGACATGTTGGGTATGCTCATCAATATCAAAAATTAAATGTAATCTTATGTTGTGTATGTAAAAGCATTAAGCTTTGCTATTCATGGTGCGGTCTTGGCATATCTATCACGGACTATCCCAGACCCACATCGTTTGCCAGGTTGATGGTTTTAACATCTTTTCACCGTTTAACCTATGGAAAAAAATGTTATCTCAACCAATCATCCCAAGTATGGTTGAAAAACCATAGATATTTCAAAGCACCAACAACCCATCATCTATATCATCTCAATATGTGATGACTATATGCAGTTTTTTTTCCGTTCATGGAGCCATCGACATCTTGGGGGATCAATCTATAAGGCATTCCAACAGAGCAGATAATCATAGTTAATCAATAAATTGCTACGGAACATGTTAACCTGACGCGATATATCAACATCTAACATCTATGATAAATCGACAGTACTCTAGGGTCAACTTAGATCTGGAAAGCCAGATCTAAAAATGATCTACACATGGTGGGTTTTCCACATGGTGGGTTTTCCGCATCTATGTTTACTGTACCTTTGGGTACTTAATTTTATTAAAAAAAACATTATTCAATGTTATCAAATATATCTATGATAAATAGATATAAATACACAATGTATTTGATGTTATCAAAGCACACAGCGTTATTCACACTGAATTTTATTTGGGCCTGACTTTGCCCCCACACCAGGGACCCCGGACCCCAACGATCAACCTCGCCAGTGCATTTCCGTCGCCTAGGTGTTATCACACATGTAAGACATGCTACAATCGGATGGTACATTAGCCATATAATTGACCATTTAGTTGTGTTTATGAAATGTATATAGTATGATCTGCCAATATCAAAATCATGTTTTTGCCTATTGTATATACATATAATTACATGGCCAACTTTATGGCTAATATACCTATGTTCGGCCAATTAAAACACATGCTCAAACGGGTGTCCAATGAACATTGCCATGACTGAATCGACAACCCGACAAAATCCAAAATGAAATGGGGTCAACAGAGCCATAATTTAAGCAACATCCACTGTTTCAAAAAAGGAAATTCACCCCAGCAAAAAGGCCATTTGGTGAGCATAAACTCAAACATACATAAATGTATAATAGGCATAAATCTTGCTGAACTATCAAAAAATCACTGACCTGATAAGAGCTGAAATGTGGCCATTTAAGTATGATTCCCCGTACATCATTCCAGTCTCGTCACAACGTGAGGTCATTGTAATTCATCCATATAAATCCATATCCCCGTATTGTTGGTGAGATTCCCAGCATATTATTCCCAATCACATCCCATTTAAATCCCATGAAACACCATTTTTGTTGCTTAAGTCACCGTTTTTTAATGGTTGCATCATCAATCATCATCATATCAAATCCCCTTAAACACCATAGTTTGTTGGTTAAAGTTCCACTAACATATCATCTATTCAAGCCCAATCTGTTTGTGCCTGGACATGGCTTACCAGCCCCCGATTTAACCATGAGTTGGTGTGGTGGTTGAAGCAACGAACATGGAGAGAAGCATCACCTTGGGGGAGGCAAACAATTATGCAGTCCATTCCATTTAAGTGACACGTAGAATCAATAATGTCCTTTTGGTAAAAATAGAGGGGCTAGTTTGGTATACCATCTATCAGAGTCTATCATCATTTACTTGTTGTTAAAGGGGTTTCTTCAAACCCCTCTATTAACCAACCAACCAATGGGGAAAAGGACACCTATGCATAGAATCTGATTTCAAACCAGGATGCTCCCACTGTGTTAATGAGCTAAATTCTGTGTTTTAGTGGGTTGAACTCGTGCCCTGCTATTTTGTTGTTCAACGCCTTTCTATTTGTGGTAAATTCAAACTCCCATTCCATTCCATTCAAGTTTTTTCAAAACTGATGTCTTCTAAATCGAATATTTGGGAGGTGTCCTAAAATAGGGGTACCCCTAAATCATCATTTTTTATAGGCTTTTCCATTATAAATCAACAATCTTCGGGTACCCCCATTTATGGAAACCTCATTTGGTGGATTGAGATGCTTTACCTGAACACCTCATTCTATCTGCCAATTTCAAATCTGACAGAAACTTCAGTTTTCTTTAGCTAAAAACATGTTTAAAACAATCTGAAGCACAATCCTTTACTTGGTTTACACTATTTACACTGTGACACTTCGGTGTTTTTTCACCTAAGACTATGATTTTCTATGGCTTAAACTGCTTAAACTTCCATGATGCCAACTCCGGGGGCCCCCAGCGCATCTTGATGAATGGGCCTCATCAAGTGATGGCAACAACCACCTGGACCAAAATCGCTGGGATTTAGGGATCTTCCTACAGAGTTTCAGGCTGGACATAGGCATGAACAAATTTATGGATGGGATTATAGAGATTTACAAACCAACAAACATGAAATCCATGAGCTAGCAATCCCTTCGTGAGGATTACCTATCCTCAAAAACCGCTGGGATTCATTTCTATTTTCATCATCACAAAAATAGGACATATACTTATACAGGATGGGCACCCCCCAGTTATGTGAACGTTGGTTTATAAACCATTATAATCCCCATGAAAACTAGTTCGTTGTATCTATCATAGTGGGATTACTATGAAATATCTATGGTAGTGATATTTATGGTAGTTGTGAAAATTCTATGTTTTGTTCGTTCGTTAATATCTACCATAGAATTCCGCGGAATACAAGATATATAAGCCATTAATCCCCATATAAACCATGAATTAATCCCCATAAACCCATCATAAGCCATAGAATTATGGGGATTATCTGGGGATTAATGGTTTATAGTCATCATAAATCCATCATATGCAATAGAATTCAGCCATCTTTTTTAAGTGAAACCTACGACTGGGGCCGTCCCCCGTAAGATGTGATCTCTGGGGGCCCGGCATCACAGAGATGGCGGTACAACCTGTCCAGATCGTCGGGCACCAAATGGGACCAGGGTGAGTTCCCCACAAGCTGGGATATAACATGATCTAACTGTTATGTATCCCAACTTATGGAAGGGGAATTTAGTAGGGATTGGGGATGAACAGTTTGCTATTGAACATGGGGCCATAGAAATGGTTGATTTACTGAACTTAAAGATGGTGATTTTCCATAGCGAACTGTTAGTTTACCAGAGGGTATAACCATGGTGAGTTCCCCATAACTTGGGATACACTAGTTTTAACACGATCTAACCCTTAGAATTATGGTTATAGATATCCAGGTATAACCACAACAACATCACCCAATAAAGCAATAAAACATGTGTTTTCTTCACACAAATAGACTCATAAGTTATCAAGGTGATGTGTTTGCCGTCACCTTTTGCAGTATGATGTTGTATTTGCAGTCAAAACTACAACAAATGGTTGCATAGCATGAACATTTCAAAAACTGATATAATCAATACTTGTTGAAACGGGTAAGTACTATTGATGATTTGCGACAACTACTGAAATGGAAACCACTGACATTTACCATTCACACTACACTATTTATATCTATTTCCTGATGGGTAAGCAATAGCATATCATATGGGCAGAGGATAATTACATTTCCCCAGAGCAAATTGCTGAACTATCTATTAATGTCCTTTCATTATTTATGACCAGGTCAGCCAATGTGGTCATATTAATTTGGAGTATCCATCCAATTTTGCTGCCCAGAAATGATGTGTCCATATATTTTACTTCAACATGCCGACCCTATGAGCCTTTCTGTTTGCTCTCGGGTTTTCTAGATTTTTATGGTTGAATTCCCATTGTTTTTTTCAATAACATGTTTCTCTGTAAATGGGGGGTTTCTAAAATCGTAGATCCCCAAAACCATAGGTTTCAATCAAAACATGATTATCATAAGTTTCCAAATCCATGGAGAAAAAACGCCAAATCATCCATTTATTGTTTGGCATTTTCATGGATTTTCTATGACATAAACCACCCGCCCGACCGGAAACCGCGCGTGACGGCGTTGACATTTGTGCATAACCTCTTTGGTACAAAGTGCACCAAACGTGAGGTTTCGGCGCACTTCAATTTTTTTTGGTTCTTTTTCGTGGCAATTCCATGGTGCTCTTTTTTTTTTTTGAGCATTTCGTGCGGTGGAAATGAGTTTTTTTCTGTTTTGCAAGTCCAAAAAGAGGCTGCAACCAGTGCCTGTGAGTCAGTTTCCCACACCTGCCAGTCAAAATTGGGACAGTTCAGCCAAGCGACGCTTGCTGTACAGCTTTTGCTATAGTCTTCAACATGTCTTTGCACATATTGATATAACGCCACTGCCAACGGCGTAGTTGCAATTTGGAGAAGAAGAAGATAAACACGTAGTTGCAAGTGATGTTCGAAGAGCCAACAACGTAGTTGCAATTTGAAGAAGATGATAACAACGTAGTTGCATGTGATGTTCAAAGAGACAACAACGTAGTTGCAATCTAGTTGCAAGTGATGTATAGTGATGTTAGAAGAGCCAACAAGGTAGTTGCAATTTGAAGAAGAAGATAACAACGTAGTTGCAAATGATGTTCGAAGAGCCAACAACGTAGTTGCAATCTAGTTGCAAGTGATGTTGGAAGAGCCAACAACGTAGTTGCAATTTGAAAGATAACAGATAACAACGTAGTTGCAAGTGATGTTCGAGGAGCCAACAACGTAGTTGCAATCTAGTTGCAAGTGATGTTAGAAGAGCCAACAACGTAGTTGCAATTTGAAGAAGAAGATAACAACGTAGTTGCAAGTGATGTTCGAAGAGCCAACAACGTAGTTGCAATTTGAAGAAAAAGATAAAAACGTAGTTGCATGTGATGTTCAAAGAGACAACAACGTAGTTGCAATCTAGTTGCAAGTGATGTTAGAAGAGCCAACAACGTAGTTGCAATCTAGTTGCAATCTAGTTGCAAGTGATGTTAGAGCCAACAAGGTAGTTGCAATTCGAAAATAACAACGTAGCTGCAAGTGATGTTAGAAGAGCCAACAACGTAGTTGCAATCTAGTTACAAGTGATGTTAGAAGAGCCAACAACGTAGTTGCAATTCGAAGATAACAAAGTAGTTGCAAGTGGTGTTAGAAGAGCCAACAGCGCAGTTGCCATCCAGTTGCAAGTGATGTTGGAAGAGCCAACAACGTAGTTGCAATAAAAAAAGAAAACAGATCACAACGTAGCTGCAAGTGATGTTGGAAGAGCCAGCAACGTAGTTGCAATAAAAAAAAGAAAACAGATCACAACGTAGCTGCAAGTGATGTTAGAAGAGCCAACAACGTAGTTGCAAGTTAGTAACGTACTTGGAAGTTCTTCGCGGACAGGACGTTAATACCCCACCCCACCCCATGAACGTGATTAGAGAAGTTAGTAACGTACTTTAAAGTTCTTCGTGGACAGAATGTTAATACCCCACACCACCCCACCCCATGAACGTGGTTGGAGAAGTGAGTAGCGTACTTGAAAGTTCTTCGCGGATAGAACGTTAATACCCCAACCCACCCCATGAACGTGATTAGAGAAGTTAGTAACGTACTCTAAAGTTGTTCGTGGACAGAGCGTTAATACCCCACACCACCCCACCCCATGAACGTGGTTGGAGAAGTGAGTAGCGTACTTGAAAGTTCTTCGCGGATAGAACGTTAATACCCCAACCCACCCTACCCCACCCCATGAACGTGGTTAGAGAAGTTAGTATTACAAGATATTACAAGCACGGTTTTGGGTCCGCTGGCGAAAATATGCGTCACTACACGTTCGGTTTTCGGTCCCCCGGCATAAACCAGCCATTGGGGTCCAAAATCTACCGAGGTACCCAGGTCGCGCACGTGGACCAGCCGCTCCGCGGCGTCGCGCAAGGTGCCGGTGCCAGTGAAGCTGCCGAGGTGCAGTTCGTAGAGGACCAATCTGGCGGATATCAACCCTACAGTGATGGCCCTTACATATAGTTATAGTAGTACCATTATAGTACCACTATAGTACGTATAGTACCATTGATCTTACAGTTATGGCCCAATAAACAGTTATATTCAATGGTTGACAGTTATATCAATGGTTATATCAACAGTTCTTATCAACCAATGACAGATATAGTCTCATTTAAGACCTTAGCAGTTATACATGGGACTACACTGACATATAACCTCAGTTTGGATGGAGTTATAATTCCATTTATAACTGGTAGTTGGGCCATCACTGTAGATACCCTGAAATATCCTGAAATCAAATAGTGCTGAATTGATGATCTTTCCACCTATTGCCAATCTTAGATACCCTGAAAAAGCATCTTGGTTATTAATTTATTAGGTATTCCTATTGAAATGGCAAAGATGAAAGGATTAAACTACCCATCCCGTTGGTTGACCTAGACCAATGGTTCATGACGATCATTGGTGAGAATAGCAGAAGATCAAACATTGGAAGCCTGGAAACTATGAGGTAGGACAAATTAGAGAAACCCAAATATAAATGGTTTGCAAGGGGGGGGCATAACCCACTTGCAAATAGCATAACCGTTAAACCCTAGTGAGGGAACTTGCTAGCCCAGGTTATTCACCACTTAATAAGATTTTCATCCAAGTACCCTCTGGTTATTTCACATAGCTAGTATAATGGACATCTTTGTCATTATAAATAGTCCAATTTTATCTATAAGGTAACCCAGTTACTGTTATCTAATCTGCAAAAAAAAACTACACTATAATCCTAGGGAAAATATCCAACATTGATCAATGGTTAAGGTTAATCATGATGAATATTGGAATATCAAACATTCAATGATACGATGACGTGCTCAGTGAATCTCAACATGTTGGAAACATGATTAAAATGATCAATGATCATAAACGACCTATCATATACTGATGCTGTATTCCCCATGCGTTTAATGGTTCAACCTCCTTTGTTGATTGTTACAATATGAGGCCCCAAGCCCAAGATAGCTCTCAGTTGGTTTACAATGGCAATACCTAGGACTTATGGTAGATATTGAGAATTAACTAACGGGGTCATACAGTTACACAGTTACACACCAACTTACAACTCGGGGAGCACCACGTTGCAATCATTGGTTGTCAATAAGCCAAGCTGTTAATGGTAATTATCAAGGGCTAATATGTTGGTAATATTATATCAACCATTGATCAATGGTGAATAATGGTTACAATAGTGTATATACTCGTAAGTGGAGTCAAATACATACCAACCATGATCCATGGTAATTGCCCAACCATATATAGATATATAATGTGTATATATATATATATGCATGTAGTCATTCATAGGTAAGTTGTTGAAATAGGGGCAATAACTAGTGTGCTACAAATATAATATAAGTGGAAACAATTGGATGCAATGAGCAACTTATGGGATTTAACCAACAAACATGGTGGTACAATTGGGATGTATTGGTATATGATTTTAGTCATTATAGTCATCCTGAGTACAATGGATAGAATATAGACACAAAAAAACAACAAACAAGAACAACATAAAAATAATTTGATATCATGTCTAAGTCAGAAATAAATATACATATATACATATGCAATGGTTGGAATCACTGGTTATAGCAAGTATACAGTTGTACAGCATAATCCATTATCAACGGTTACAGTATATTACTTATCAGCTCATATGGGTATTATCAAATGGTTCATCAATACATTAGTATATTTGTACAGTATATATACACATATATATATATACCATTTGATTTGTATTACAGTAACCCCTGTGCTAAGAGGCATAGTTCATAGATACGTAAATAATCTAAATATATTCAAACCATTGATATGTAAACGGTTGATAGGATTCATTAGTCATGGGACATTCATAAACCATTATCAACCAGAAATGTGCATTTAACCATCAACAATAAGCAAAATTAGGATTGGGATAATGGAGATTGACAAACGGGGTATGTTCGGATATACAGCCAAGAATGTTTGTTTTATCTCGATTTTCCCATCAAAGTACATAGAAATTGCAATATTTGGGTGTTCTCCATTTTATTTCATTTTTGGACAAACTCATGGTTACTGGCATAAAATGGTTGTTGATATGGACAACACATTGTGGTGATTTGATCAAATTTAAAAAACAAAACATCCAAAATTGAGGGGTAGTATGGTTGCATCACCCAAACATTGCATTTAAGCGGAACAAATGGGCGATATAGATCAATCATGGATGGCAATATACTCAATAATGAGCATATGAAAAATAAATAACAATAATGAATATAACTGTGTAACTGATATATATATATAATCTCGTATTAGAGACTAAAGAACGCCATTGTGGTTGATGATATTGTTTTTCAATTACCCTCCTGTAAACATAGAGAAAGGATGAAAAAGGTGCGGAAAACCCACCATGATAGTTGGGATGGTCGGAATAGCTGGGATAGTTGGGATAGTTACTGTATACGTATAATTACTGAAGGCATTATAGTATATCCATGTATATCCCAAAAAATGGTTTACTCCAGGGTGCAGTGAAACCACCATTTAAGAAACTACTGCATTAAGAACTTCAGGGGCTGGATTGCTGGATTTACTATGTGTCGGTTAATCGAAATAAGGACCCCAGTGTACCCTGACATTCGGGCCATGAATTCTTATTCCACTTTAGCAGGTGAAGAGCTACGCCACCAAAAAGTCTATTGTAAATTCTTAACCATATAATTTCCATTTGGGAATGGCAGTTTTATCCCACCCATATATACAGTATCTACCGATGTTTTTTCTCCGTTGAACACCAAATGGCCAGGGAAACAGCTCTTCAGCTCTCTGGGAGACCCTGGTTGTCACCCTGGGTCCCAGACTCCCGATCGGCGCAGCGTTGAAAGACGGGCGGAGCTTGCAGCTCTGAAGCCTTTGGGGAACTTCTAGGGATACAAAAAAGGGATCTATTGAGAGGATATCAAGGGGATCCCATCGGATATCATGGCCTGTGTGCGTGTAGGTAGGTAGGTCGGTAGGTCGGTCGGTAGGTAGGTAGGTACTAGGTAGGTAGCTAGGTAGGTAGGTAGGTAGGCAGGTAGGTAGGTAGGTATGTGCGTACAAAATATTACCATGTATATTTGTACATATATGTATGTATAAAGGATAACATAGAGAAAACGTGAAAAACCCATAAAAAAACAACATGCATATGATGGGACATACGTATATAGGCATACACACGGACGAATAGTTGCGATATGTATTTGCAGGTAGACTGCCAGCATGGGGTCCAAAGCAACAGCAAATGGATAGACTTTCTGGATAATTCACCCTCTGGTACTCAAAACATGGCTAAAGCAAAAACTTAATTATGAGTTGAACAAATCATATCGAAATGCATTTGAATCAGGTCGTTGTCCAGTGCCAGGATAGATTGCTGCAGTGTGGTTTGGTGCGACTTTCTGGGATCAATATTTCTCTAGTCTTGACATATGGGATGCAGCCGCTATGACTATGGGGATGATATAACCTCCTGTAGTCAAACGTGTCCAACCGCGAGCACTATTGATCTATTGTTCGATATAAATTGAATGACTTCAAACTTTAAATGGAGGATTTTTCCATTCCCAGGTTTGATCAGGATCATTGGTCTTGGCCACTCTGGTTAGCATCCAGCTGTAGATGAATCATCGAATCATCGATCATCCCGAGGATCGCTTCGGCTGAAACCGACTGAATTTCTTGAGGTCCATTAGGTATCACCCTGTGGTTATCACCCTCTGGTTTTTGAGCATAGCTACAGTACATGGAAAATCGCCCATTTATAGATGATAAACATTATGATACTTACATGGTTCTTAAATGTTTCAGTTCGCAAACCGCTAAATGACCATAGGGCAATACTAGCGGAACAATGAACACATGAAGAAATGAATCTTATACCTATCCTCCTTCACTTCCAAGAAGCCGTTTTTCGGCTCCACAGACAAGGACCTGGAGGGGCTTCTACCTGGGCACGTTGCGGATGTTGCTTTTTTTTTGCACTTATTTGGCCGTTCTTGTTCGCAGAATAATAATTCTATATATATATATATCAAAATCATTGCTAGCATGATCACTGTTAGTATATTGACATGATTGATTATTATTTATTATTGTAATTATATATTATAGTATGTTGCTGCCATAGTCACTAGCATCATGATCATTTCTGTTATCTCTATTTCTCTTTATCAGACCATCCGAACTTGGGATAATGAGCCGGCAGTGTGTCGATTTCCGCCCATGTTGACAGCACAGTAAATTTTCACACAGTCCCCCCCGCTTGTTAGAAAAGCCTTCCAACACGCAGCAATTTTGTTGCTATCACGCTTTTTGCAGGCGCTGCAACTGATTGTTGAAAGTCTGTTGCCTGCACACTTTGCCCAGCTACCGCTTTCCGTCGCGGATATTTTATGAGTTGTTCACGCCATCTCTGCCTATCACAGCTACCATGGACCAGCGTGTACATAGCCTTGGCATTTTCCTCTGTGTTGTCAAGCGTTCCACCTGCACCTCGCCATTGGCCAACGGTGGATGCATGCCCGTACTCTCCGTCTTATCTCCAGGCCCACCGTTGAACCTTACTTGCCATTGTCGCTGCAGCTTCCAGGCCGGGCCGCAGGGTCTCAAGTTCGCCCCCGCAACTGGGGTGATTTGTTGGGTCCGAATGGAAGATGTTCGGGATTTGGCCTATGAACAAAATGGGTATATATAAGATGCATTGGGTGGTCAAAAACCTTGATGATCAAAATTTATCGTTCCAACCATTCCAACCTACATTCAATTGAATTGTTCCGAAATCACCAAACTTCTCCTGGTTTTTGTCCCCAGAGCCAAGGTCTGAAGCGTCTCGGCAAGGTGAGTAAGGCTTAACGAAGCTCTGGGGCCGATATACCATCTTTCAACACGCACAAATGTCCTATTAGTGTTATGTCATAAATATATTCCCCCGTTATGTATATTGTATAAATATGTATTCCCCCCCTTGAATCCCCACATTTTGTTGGTTGTGCATCCCCGTTTCTAGCGGTAAATCACCAATTTTTGGGAAAACCTGCGCTGAGGCATCCGACTCCCTCAGCGCCGAGTGACCTTTGAGTTTCAACCGGTACTTGGTGAAAGCTTGGGGTAGCCATGGGAAATCACCCCACTAAATTGAAATTTATAGCAGGGAACATCTCTTATAAATGGAGTTTTTGTTGGGTGGCAATCCGGTATAAACGGAGTACCGGGAAGATCACACGAAAATGGCAATTTGCATGGGAAAATCCACCATAACTGGAGGTTTATAGCTGGGAAAATCATCGAGCTAACTGGTAGATTTTCCAGCAAACCATGTTTGATTACCGGAGGGTACCATACCAATATGCTCGATGGATGGTTTAGCTACTTGCATTTGGGCCATTTTTGGGGTACATGCTGGCAACTATACTAAACAGAATGGGGTTACGTCATCCCCAAAAACAAATGTGAGTTTCCGAGAAACTATGTAAGCAAACCACATCAATGAACCCCCCCCAAAAAATGGGATTCTATACGGTCATGGCCTTTCATGTGTTTGGCCCTTTCGGGCCCTGAAGTGCCATATTAGTGGCCATAATTGGACAGTCAAACAACTATCCCCAAGGAACTGAAATCAATTGGGACACGAAATTCCATTTTGTTGGATGGAAACTCAATAACACAATTGAAACCATCAACAGGATTGAAACCACCAACCAAATCAGGGACAAACTGAGATCAAAACCAATATGTCTGCATGATGCTGTATGTATAATTAGGATGTTTGTAGGTACGATCAACTCCCCGCACCTATGGCAATCTAATTGCCTTCCCGCTTATGCAGGCGTCATGAACAGAATTTATGGATGTTGCAAAATGGTTTCAGTTCAACCCTAGGGACCTATATTGGCCAAGAAGAGCAAAACTGTCAGACAAGAATTCCACATACACACAAACATATGTGAAACATGCAAAGATAAAAATAACCCACACCCAGAAAATGTGGTAAAACTCCTCACGGAAGATAGGTACAACATTCATCTGCCCATGTTCATCGATGGTCTGCTTATGTGGTCTCGTCATCCCTGGTACCAATCGTTGGTAACAGTTAAAAACACCAATCATTGGTTTGTGTCATTTGTTGATTACCATCTTAGCTGTCGCACACGTGGAAGAACCGCTATTTGACTGATTCCTGCTTTTTCCGAAACTGTGGCGATGTCCTGACAGGCAGGCTAGTCAGAGGCCAACCCAAAGACATGGTTGATGTCCCTCTGTGCTGTGATGAAATAGCGCCTGCTGGGCACGAGCCAAAGCCCTGCTGAAGGACATAGCCTTCTGGATCAGACCGTCCACATACAGATGTATATATATATATATATATATATTGTATGTATAATGTATATACTCTGACACTTGTATGTATCTACTCTGACACTTGTATCTGAATATGTATATATGTAAAATGATAGCTGTATGTGATATGTCAACAAAATCACATATATATATATATATGTGCAACTCTATGATACATATATTAAAACATGTCTAAATACACAAATGCAAGTTTATATTAGAGATAGTGCATACATTACTTCAAACTGCAAACTAATCATTATTAACAAATACACACATATTATGTGCATGAAAGCAAATACGTATTACTAATACGTGCATCGAAACCTATTATGTGTACATATATATATATATCATACACATACATGTATATACAGTATATACAAATATACACACTTATTTACAACCATATGTATACTTATATATATATATACGAATATATATATATATGAAGACATATATATATATATGAATATATATATATATATCTCTCTCTCTCAAATTATTGTAAACTGTACAACTGGACAACTCTTGGCTTATCCCAGCCCTGTCCACTGAGCTCCTGGGCCCCGTCCAGCCATATCCCTCCTCTGCTTGAAGGCCATGTGCCTCACAGATTGGATCCGCATGCGACGAAAAAGGGGTGCAGTTGGGGTAATGGGTATACCCTCAGTCATATATATGTCTACATGTATAAATATCTAAATATCAAGTCTATTCTATTCTATTCCATTCTGATCTGTTCCATTCTGATCTAATCTAACCTATCTATGAATCTATGAATCTTTGAATCTATCTATCCATGTATATTTACATATTTATATGTATAAAAATGTGTTAAATATCTGTATATGTAAATACATATATATATATATATACAAATGTAAATATGTATATATATATATATATATATGTATATATATGTATATATGTATAAATGTATATATATATGTATAAATGTATAACTGTATATATGTATATATGTATATATTTAAATATTTATAGGTATATATATATATATAATTATATACATATGTATATATGTATGTGTATATGTGTATGTATATATATATATATGTATGTATGTACAGTATGTATGTATGTATGTATGTATGTATGTATGCATGTATGTATGTATGTATGTATGTTCCCATCTCATTACCTGCCACTTCCAACCTTGGACGTCCCATCTCCTGTGGTAAATCCGTCTTCCCATCTCATTACCTGCCACTTCCAACCTTGGACGTCCCATCTCCTGTCGTAAATCCGTCTTCCCATCTCATTACCTGCCACTTCCCATCTTGGACGTCCCATCTCCTGCGGTAAATTCGTCTTCCCATCTCACTACCTGCCACTTCCCATCTTGGACGTCTGTGTTTCCCTGGAAGTCCCAAGATTCTTGTCAAATTTGATCAAATATTCCCATGTCATCTGTCAAAAAATGGGAAAATACCTGCCCGTTAGGTCGGCGCATAACTCCCATGTCATGTGCATTATAAAAAACACGTAGCAAAATTGAGACATAAATCCCATGTCATGTGCCAAAAAACCTCGGCTAAATCGGCCGCAAAGTCTCGTGTCATCTGCGCCTACTATATTTATATATATATATATATGTATCATTCCTAATGTACGAATAATATCACCATTTTTTCTTGGTTAGATCCATTTACCCTCCGGTAATCGAACATGGCAATGGAAAATACGCCATTATCACCATTTACAGATTATTTTTCCATGAGAACCTCTATTCTTACGGGGGTTTCCATTGCCACGTTTGATTACCGGATGGTAACGATCTTGATAGCCTCACACCCCCCAAGTATGGGTGAATTTAACAGGCCAAAATGTGGAACAAATGTCCAAACATTGGGAATGCATATATATATATATTTTCTTTGTTACAGTAAGAATAAGTACTTAAATAAACAACAACAATGAAACTTACTCAATTGAAATGTTCACCAAAAATTAAGATGGCGGGCGGTCAAACAAGCCCAAAAAATTGGGTGGCCAATAATTTTGAGCCAGCCAGAAAACCGCTAGATAACAACTGTGTGAGTCGAAGGGACTTTATGCTTTGACTTGTTCAGATAAAATTGAAACCCTGCCAACCACAGGAAATCTGCAACAATACCATTGTTGAACGCGAAGCATCCAAACCCTTGACCCTTAAGACATCTTGAAGCCTATCTCACTCATGTGAATGGATACTCGGTATTGGGAAATCGTGCTGACGGCGGGGGCCACAACGCCGGTATGTAGTCAATCATGGCAATGGAAATTCCCATTGAATGGGCAATGGCAATGGAAAATTGTTTATAAACTGTTGGTTTTTCACTGCCAGGTCTGAATACCAAAAGGTAAACTTCTTGACTGGGAACTTGTGGATGCATCTCAGGATTGGTGGGTAATCTTGATTTTCCAATTATAGTCATGGGTTTTATGGGCATGAGTCAAAACCCTGGTACCCTTTCTGTTCACCCCAAAAAAGCTGGGATTCATATATGTTCATCCAGGCATTCTATCGGCCGAGCGACGTAAGGATCAGCTCGCCAATCTCGCCGATGCCTGAGAAATGCGTTGCTAGAACAGAAAAGTTGGTATGTCAATACAATATATTTAAACAAGTGTCTATATATACATATATATATATGTGTAATGCGTTCATAAAGTAAACATATCATACATAACAATTTTAAAATCATATCATCAATAAGTGAAGCGTGTTTATCCAAATATGTATAAATATGTACTGACGTACGCGTTGGCCATGTCTGCAGCCTGATTTTTTCGCAGATGGTCATATATCTCAAGTGGACATACCTCAGAAACAGGGCGAATCCCATGGTTATTACTTCCATAATCCACAATATTTCCATATATAATCCATATTCTGGTATTATGGATTGGGAAACATTATATCATATGGTTACTACTTCCCAATAATGGTTGAATCTAGTGGTTAATTCATGGCATCCAATTCATGGCAAATCGAAGCGAAATCAAATCGCCATTTTCGCGTCTCCATTCTGAACGCCTACCAGCTGACCTTTCTGTTGGATTCTTTGACGGAGGGTTAATAGCATGATTACATGTACAATATTTAGACAAACACAATTGATTCACATATCATCCTAGAAACCTAAAATAATATACATCAAAAACTTACGATAAACATGTTCAAATATATATATATATATAAACCTGCAACATCATACTTTGACATCTATTAAGATATATCTATGAACAATTTGACATAAATAAATAAATATATATATATATATATCAACACATATGGATATCATCTATTAATTCATAGTTAATCATTATTAGTTAATTAACTCTATATCATCATAGTTTATAATTAACGGTATACCCTCTGGTAATTTAACATAGCGAAATGGAACATCACCATTTTTAATGGGAAAACTCACTATTTTCTATGGCCATTTTCCATAGCTTTTTGACATAACCAGAGGGTACAAACTCTGATGATCTCCCAAAGCCGAGGCCGCCGAGGCCGCCGAGGCCCCAGCACGCGCAGGATGAAGTCCGACGAACCGTCGATGCTGAAATCCGGCGCATCGCCCAGCCTCGGCGGACGTCGGTGGGGCACCGGATGCCCCGGGGCATCCCACGTTGACAACTGGATCAACTGGGTTAACGTTTGGGTGGGGATATCCAATATCACATGATATCTATTGATATCTGATATTTATGGGTTTATAAACGAACTTACTCTAGAAAGAACGATAATTCCTTTTGAATTTGGAGATTTATAGCTGGAGAAATCCTACAGTGAATGATGATTTTCCAATTTCGCAGGGATAGACACTACCAGTTTGCTTTAATTCACTACAAAAAATGATGATTTGATTTACCAAATGTAAGGATAGTGATTTACCATAGCTAAGTTAAATTATCGGCAATCAAACTAAACGGTGGATCTTGGATCTTCCATTGCCATGTTTGAGTACCAGAGGGTATTTATAGTATGAACAAAGTTTCATCATTTACTTCTCAAGACATCATAACACATAATTTGTTCATGTGTATCTATGTTTTGAACAAAGTTTTTATTCATTTGACATGTTAACTTAATACAGAAGTTTGGTGATAGCATGATATGATATCATTAATCAATGAATTAAAACTAGCTTGATGTAGATACAGTATGCACATCGGCTGTATACTTGTAAGTAACTTCAAATTCTATGGCACTTTAGATATTGCATGTGTATATGTGTATGAACATATACACACTTTATACATGGTCTCGGCGTTGTTGTCTCTGTAGTACGTTCCCATCTAATTAATTAGTTTAGGTGCATGGGTGTGCGTCAAAGTTTGGGGTGCGTAGTATCTTGATCCACCTCCTCTCACATTGCCTATGACCTAGCTGCCATGTGGGTATGCGTCATTTTGCAAATGACATCACATCCGATATATATATATATACATATATATATATATTCAAATTCCGATCTTTGTGGCTTAAATCCTGATTTTTGATTTTCAACTCACAATTCTTCATGGTTGAGTCCTTGTTTTTGTTGCTTAAATGCTAAGTTGTTACGGTTCAAAACCACTTTTTGATGCTTGAGCCGCAGCCATCACAGCTATTTTTCTTCTTTCAGTCCAACCATACTTTGAACCATGTCGTTTCCCCATCAAAAAGTGGTGGGAGGAAAATTCCTCCCATATATGGTGTCTGAAAATAGGCTATACCACCTGGCAATTTTCCTGCTGAAAATGGGGTTCTAATCCATTGGATTTATAGGGATTTTCCCCTTTTTTACTTAACTCAAACCCATGTTTCTGATTGATATTGGATAGTAAAGACTCCAACCCCTATTATATAAACATGAATTTCCCATTAATTCCCATTAAATTCCCGTTAACCAACCAACGGTTTTCTTCGCTTCCAGTTGGGGCTCGCGCCATTTGCCCGGCTCGAAAGGTGTGTCCGACGCAACTCCGTGGACCGGCGACGTGGCCTCGAGGGGAACCGCAGTCACCAAAGTTGGGGTTTTAAGCCCCCAGTGATCAATGGTGGATATTTAATGATTATGTATATATATATATATTCATACATATTTATATCTACATATATATATATATATATTTAATGGTTGTCAAACAATTTAAATTTGTCCCATATTAGTTTTTGTGTTATCATCGCTAATGAACCCTATTGATGACTTGAATTTACCTATCAATGACTATACATATATATATATATATGTATGGTTGATGTCTTTCATACTGGCACTAGTTGGTGGTTTCCTTTGGTGTTTGTTATTCTGTGAAATCAGCAGTTTTGACTATCGTTTGTGATTTATTGAAAACAAAAAATCCTGGGACTGTCCATTTTTATGGTGGTTTATGTTTTACAAGGAAAAACACAACATTTTTTGTCAGTCTTGCATAACATACAGTCTTATCATTCTTGACAATTGCCATGAATGATGTGAATGATATTTGATATTCTATTCTTACAACCACTATTCACCAGCGATAAATGCTTGATATTTATGATTATCAACATATTAACCCTTGAAAATTACCATTAATAGGTAGGATGATTGATAATCAATGGTTGCAATGTGGTGCAGTTGGCTTAATAATTTAATAACCCCCATTAACGAGTTCGATATATATATATATATACATATCTACCACAAGTCCTGGTTATTGGAGTTATGTTCACTAACTTGACTATCTTCAGGCCTTGCATTCTAACAATCAATAGTAAAGGTCTAAACATCATTCGCATGGGGACAGTACAGGATGGTTGGTTTATGATCAGTTTTCCAAGATGTTGATGATATTCACTGAGCGCTTCATCTTATCTTCGAACTTCTCCAACTTTTCCAACATACATTTACATCACTCCGAGTTTCCAGGCGTCCAATGTGTTTTCCGATTTGTCTGACTGTTTGGAGGTTGCGAAAAACACACAGACATGGGTTGCCCCTATCCAAAATGGAACTATTCATCAACGACCTTGCACGTAATATTGGATGATCTCCTCACAAACTGGGCTAACCTTGGACCCTCAGAAAAACTGTATCAAACACATAAAACAGCGCTTGGACTAACAAAAAATATCAAAATTGAAGCCTGAAATACCCAGAACAAGTCATGGTTGTCTGATTCTTGCTGGATAAGAAAAAAACACCTGCCATCAAAATGGCTACCACAAAGGTTAAGCCATAAGGTGCGCCCTCCTATAGTCTAACCTATCACTGGAAAGCATCTCTCAATGACTCAATTAATCTGCATAATTATAATAAATGACTTCATTCATAGATATACACGTACATATAATGTACATATATACATGTATATTATCAACATCATATATATATATATATATAATATAATATATATAATATAACTAATATAATATACATCATGATGAATTCCGTGTCACCATGCGTGATATTTTTTTCAGTGGAGGGCACCCTCTGATACTCAAACATGGCTGGGTGCAACGGATCCACATCGCACTAAACCCAGCAGGACCATGGTGACCATGACCCAGGGGATCCCAGGAGATGTGGCCGCCATGTTTTGTTGAACAACAACCTTGAAAACAGGATGAAACATTTTTTGTAACCACGATATAGATAGATAGATAGATAGATAGATAAATATAAACTGATTATCATATATATATATATATTACTATCAACTGATTAGAAAATTGTTGTGATGACAAATCGCTATTGTCGGCATTATCATTATGTTCATTACTACTATTATTTTCATTATCATCATTATCACTTATCACCACTATCATCATTAGCATCATTATTATCATTGCTATCACATTGCTATCATTATTATCATTGTAGTCATTATAATTGCCATCACTGTTATATGTTTTAATTGTTATTATCATCATCCTTATCTGGTTGGTGGTTTCAACCCCTCTGAAAAATATGAAAGTCAGTTGGGATGATGACATTCCCAACTGAATGGAAAAATACAACATGTTCCAAACCACCAACCAGTTATTATTAGTGTTAAATGTTCTGGTATGATCTGGGCGTAGCAAGATATGACGCCTGTGGCCGTACACCGAATTTTTGGAAACTCCTGTGCTGAACTCGTAGGATATCGAAAAACACATTGTGTGGTAATGGCTACGCAAAAATAACAATAATAAAGACCTGGTTGGTGGTTTTTACCATCTTGAAACATATGAAAGTCAATGGGAAGGATGACATCCCATATATGAAATGGACAATAAAAAATGTTCCAAACCACCAGCCAGAAACAGTTTACCAAAATATAGCAGTTTTCCTTGGCTAAATTCCAGGACATTGTCTTGGTTCACATAGCATGGAATTCTATTGTTTTCGATGTGCTTCCAACATGTGCAAAACATCTTCCAAATCTTGCAGGTCAGAAATTTCAAAGCATCCCATCATGACTTTCCCTGATGGTTCCGTAAAATGGGGGTAATCATCTTTTAAAATAGGATTTCCATAATAAACTTATAAACCATCCAGCTATTGGGGATCCCCCATGATTTTGGAAACCTCCAAACCGCGGCGGTCCTGCTTCACCTTCCGCAAACTCAAAGGGCCCCAATCACCGTCCGTGGAAGCGACCTCTTTTGCAGCCGCGGAGGCTCAAAATCCATGGGAATTACACCATAAAAATAGAAAATGCTGGCGCCCCCCCAGTTTTAAGTTGGTTGATAACCACCATTATCTAGTCGATATATCTACCATTATCTAGCATAATTCCTAGTTACTATTGGAGTTCTTCGTTATCTTGGAGGGGCACCTTGTAACATGGCGCAGAAATTAAGAATAGCATCACTGATAGTTGACCCTCCCATAATGCACCCTTTTAGGTTCACTAAGGGACATCACCCGCAAGTTTTAAAGAGAAAACAAGGTTTCGAACCAACTTCGAATGGGGAGTGCTGGGGCATCCTTCCAGGCATCCCGTATTGGAAAATCACAGTCTTGACATCATCACATCATGTAGAATGCCCACGACAATGTTCCCAAGATCAAACAAAAATGTATTCCCATACTTGTTCATTCATTTCCCCTTGAAACCAGACCCTGGTTGAGTAATGGACCCATTTTTGGGGTCCGTATGGCCATAAATGGTGGTTATTTAACAATATATTGGCTGCACATATCCCCAATTCATGGTTGCATGGTGAGGCCTCCCAGTGAAATGTGGCTGTTGGCTAACAAAAACCCATGGCTCACGAACAAGTTCGTTGTATCCCCCATGGCGCAACACAACTGTCAACCAAGTTCTAAGTCCACTTGGCTATCTTGGTTCTAGTTAGTTAGTAGTTATATGTAGTTATATCATGTAATATCCTCCTAAAAACCCTAGTTATAGTTTGTCAAACATACTACAAGCCTCACCTGGTAAACCATATTCAACAAAAATAAACTATACATCCATATAATTCCATATAAATCCATATAAATCCAAATAATTCCATATAGATCCATATAAATCCATATAAATCCCATGAATTCCTTTTGTTTTCTTGGTTCCACCATTTCGGATTCTAAAACCCCCAAATCTGCCCCACCTCAAGGATCCTCCCAGCATCTTGGCCTGCGCCCCGATGATATCCACCCGAGGAGCCACCAAGAGACCTGGATGAGCCAAATACGGGGCATAAATTAGACAAATGTGGGGTATACATATATATATATATATACACACACTTAAAATCATACGAATCATAAATCATCTGGAATATGTGTATATATACAGTATATGGAATGTCTTTGGATTTGGAATATATATATATATATTTATATTTATGTATATATGTATATATATATATATATGCATGTAATGTATTATGTACATAGTGACTGTATTGGTAGTACATTATGGGATATAAACCAAGTTAGCCAAATAAATCTAGAGGTTCTGGGGCTGCTACAGCACGTGTAGCAACGATCTGTGCCTGGGAACGATGTTTTCTCTAGATCTGTTGGGTCTGGTTGGTGGTTGACCTACCCCTCTGAAAAATATGAAAGTCAATGGGAAGATTATCCCATGTATAGAAAATTAAAAATGTTCCAAACCACCAACCAGTGTTTCCAATCATCCAACATGAGTTTAGATTAGATGATTACTATATGTTACAATCATTAGATTCTTAGATCAGTCACTACATATCAGCAATAGTGGGTTTAATCAAAATTGAGTGCATGATCCAAACATCCATGTACGGGTGAATCATGGTTCGCTGGTTACCCTAGGGCAAACCAAAAAAAAAGATGTGGAAACCGCGCAGAGTTTCCCTATGAACATGATCTACAATTTTTGTGGATTTTCATGGATTTTCCACATATGAGTACATATGTTAAAGTTAGTTTTCTTTCCCCATTTTCCCCCATTTTCCCATTTTCCCACCATTTTCCCATGTTTCCCATGTTTCCCATTTTCCCCATTTTCCCCATGTTCCCCATTCTTTTACTGGAGAGTAGAGTAACAAAGATTTTTCCCATTTTAAGCCACCATCATTGGGAACTTCAAGATGGTCCCCCTTATGTGGGATGCACCAAGGAGAACCTCCCGTTGAACAAACCGCAAAGATATGTATGCAATATATATATATATATATATGTCTAAAAATATGTGTAAATAACATATCCCATTGATCTTACCATATGTTTTTTTTATAGTTTTTCTGTTGTGAGAATGTTGTGAGTATTCCACCCAACGTCCGCTCCAAGCGGCTCAGTCGCACCCCGCTGCCATCGGTGACCGAGTAGAAATGGTGATTGTCCACGGCCTGGACACTGGGTTCCTGGGTCCCATGACGTGCCACCGTGCCATGGTCAAGTTACCACCATCACGGACCATCACGGACGGGGCTTGAGATGACCTGATGATTTGGGGATATCATTTCTTGTTTTCCATTTGTTTGTTTGTTCCCCATTTGAAGAGGGGACATCGTCATGATGATGATGATGATGATGATGGTGATGATGGTGATGGTGATGGTGATGATGATGATGATGGTGGTGGTGGTGATGATGATGATGATGGTGATGGTGATGATGATGATGATGACGATGATGATGATGATGGTGGTGATGGTGATGATGATGATGATGGTGATGATGATGATGGTGATGATGATGATGATGATGATGATGATGATGATGACGATGACGATGATGATGATGATGATGATGGTGGTGATGGTGATGATGATGACCATGATGATGATGATGATGATGATGATGATGATGATGATGATGATGATGATGGGATAGTTTTTTTGAATAGACTTACTTGGATATGCTCCATGAATTCATGAGTGATCGAGTTGATCGAGTCTGAAAAGTCTCTGAACATAGAGTACTGCTGAAAGCACTGGTTAAGCATCATTCTGCAAATCCAGCATCCGATTTTCAGACAAGCCCATGTGCAGGCATCCGGCCTATTTTTGATGATTCTTACCTCTACAATTTTCACTTTTGGTGAATCTTCTAAGGATGAATCTTGGTAAACCTACCTAGCACTAGGAGGTATCCGGATAATGACCGATTCTCAGCACATGACCATTTCATTGTATTGCCGTTGTTTGCATACTATGGTCTATTTCAACGTGATAATCTTACTTGTGCAAAAACGAGAACCCAATTCCACTGCTTCACTATATTCAATGGTTTCAAACTAGGGCGAAACATTATGTGGCCAAATGATTTCGGATGTAGCCAGGTTTGAAGCCCTGTTCTTCCCCAGAGTTGCCATAAGTTGGAGCTTTTGCAACTCGGAAAAACATGGGAAAGCCCCTACCTCCAGGCGAAACTCCGCCAATCCAAGCTGTTCGGCTTCTGTCTGCTCCTCCAGTTGGAGGGAGACTGACCCAATGAACATGGAGGTTTAACCAGCATCTAATGGGGACACAATGGCGATACATAGTTGGGACATAATGGGATTGTATATCAGCTTGTGGCGTCCTAGTTGTTAGCTAAGTTGATAAACATAACTCGAATAACTTAGGCTGATGATAGATATACCCTCTGGTAATTTAACATAGCTATTGAAAATTGCCATTTATAGTGGATTTTCCCATTAAAAATGGTGATTTCCCATAGCTATGTTAAATTACCAGAGGGTATCCAAATTGTCACTTGGCAGTCTTCAACACCAAATAGCTGGGGGACACCACCCGACCTTGTAGCGACTAAACGAGTGATAAATCACCTGTTCCTTGTTGTTCTTCTATGGTTTAGAGGCTTGCTACTATAATGACTATAAATCTCAATTCACAGACCACCAAGAAATGCTGGGCATGTTTACAGTATGCATGTTTGGTAATTATCTCCTCTACTTACCACCAATAATTGAAGTAAGGTCGGCTAGTGAAGGACAATCCAGGGTATGTCTCTGGGAAATGCTGTACAATCCATGCAGTTCTCACTATTCTTACAATCTTCAAGCATCATTCTAGTGCCTTTTGTGGACACTTGCCATCTTGGGGATTCCTCTGAGGCGCATCCCACGTCACTCCTTCGGCGATTCTGCTTCGGCCGCCTTGGCAGCTTTGATTGGATTGGCGTACCGGAAAATTGAAACCGCAATCCTCTATTTAATTGATGGTGAAAGCAACGCTTTCCTGCAGATTCTTGAGCTAAACCATTGACAGTGCAACAAAATATCAATGTGTGGGTATGTCCGAACATGGGATACCTGCAAAACAGGCCAGTTGTTCATGGGAATATATGAAGATGATTGAGATGATAAGTATTGAACTGCCATGTCTTTACCATGAACAATTGCCTCCAAAATAGATCTAGAAACCGACCGGACGGGGAAACAATTTTCTGACTTCTCCAAACTGTTTCTCTTACAGTAAACTTGCATTTCATCAGGTCCCATATTCATCCACATTCTATTTTTTTTGCGCGATTATCGATCAGATTCGTATGTATCGAGGCATCTATAAAACTTGGATTTGCTTCAACCCCATAGATGTTGAGGCATCAGTAAACTTGGATTTGCTTCAACTGTCAACCCATAAAACTGGTTGTCTATTGAGGCATCTATTCAGGACAACATATGCCCTATAGACACAAGCGGATTTCCAAGATTTCCCATCGACAACTCATCATCCCGGAATGGGATCTCTGGACTCTGCCTGCGGTGACAACCTGGTGAAACAAAATTCATTTCCTCCGCATGTTTGTTGATGTTCATTATTGTTCATTAACACTCATGTTTTGTGGTGATGTCCGAACTTTTGTTGTGCTTGTAAAAGTCCCTAGTATGGCTGGTGTAATCTAGTTTGCGTGGCGTAATCTCAATTTTGCCATTCAAGTCCATATTTTTGTTGAATACATATATATATATATATAGTATAATACTGAAATATATATATATATATAATCTTATATATATATATGTTATAATTATGATAGACCCCCATTCAAACACCCCTTTCCATGTTGGTGGAATAAACCAACCAACGTCCCAGCAAGTCCCACATCTCAATGCGCCCTGAGATTGGCACCCCGCGAGCAGTCTCCGCATCTTCCCCCGTCCTTTGCTAGATACAGAACGCCGTGTCTCGATGTGCACCAAACGAAGACATTGAAAATCGATCTGACCAAGCCAAATTACACCCAAATTGTTTTTTTACACATGGCTTGTACATGCGTTGTAGACGTGTACTCTCTGGTAATTTTAGAGTTTGCTATGTAAAACCGCCATGAACATATTAGGTGAATCATCTTAATAGGCCATGGCTTCCACAGCAAACTGTAGAATTACCATAGGGATCCATAGGGAAAATCTGAATCATGAAACACATCCAAACCACGGCCTTGTTCAGCTTTGGACGGATCAATATTGATCAATATCCACTGGTGGTAAGCGATGAATCCCCAGTTGGCTCAGGAATCAACCCCCGGCAGGGGATGTCTTGGGGCGACAGCGGGTCTGGCAACAAACATGTCCCATCTAAACATCCCCCCAAAAAGCACGAACTTGCCAAACAGGAACACTTTAACGACAACAGGTCCGATATCATACTAATAAAAACCATAAATCATACATATATATATACGTATATATAATATGTATTAATATGTATAATATTCTTGTCCAGAATACCCAATTTCGATTGGCCCATTTCTTGTGATGTCCAATCTCCAACCTTCTGCGGTTTTATCCACACTCTCCACTCGGACCGCTGGGAGTCCCAAACTCCACAGCTGCTTGGTCGGTGCCTTGACTCCGGCAAAGCATCCGCTGGCTTTTTTTTGGACAAAAGAACCGTGACGTTCGACAATGTTTTATATTGCTTGAAATGGTTTAATTATAATATTTTATAGGTGTAGATCCTCCGTTTTATTGGTGGCAAGTTGGCGTTTTCAAGAGTTCATTCATGATTTAGGCTGCTAGTTGCTTTTCATCATATGTTTCCAGTAGGATCTAGGATTTTCTAGGCAACATAGATACAATGACACGCCAACTTGAAATGTTGGCTGCATCTTGGAGCTTCCTCAAACCGTTGCACAAACGATGAGGCCTGGTCGCGATCATTTGAATATTCCGTATATGTATCCGTATGTAATGTTCATTCCTGTTTCTTAATCACCATTGTAAATTCCCGACATCTACAATTAATAACAAGGAAACACTTTGACAACGTATTTTCTGGTTGGTGGTTGACCTACCCCTCTGAAAAATGATGGAGTTCGTCGGTTGGGATGATTTTTCCATTCCCAACTTTTCATGGAAAGTCAATCCAAAAAAAATCATGGTTCCAGTCACCACCAACCAGGTATTTGAATCACATCTCACCATCTTGCACCATCACTTCACCACCCATGGCCAAGCTGCTGGGAAGGTCCCAAGAGACCAGGCCAACCTGACATGGCTAGTTGAAAATCCTACCTAGCTGGAGGTTTTCATGGAAAAAACACATAGGAACATATTGGAAACATATGGGAAATCCACTAGAAATAGGAGGTTTATAGCAGGGAAAACCATCTATGATCGGGAGGAATCTCCATTGCTATGTTTGATTACCGGATGGTATTTTGATCATTGTCTGCTGTGTATTTCATAATTTATGGAATCTGAAAAAATACAAGAAACCATAAGAAACCATACTTATTCAATTTGAACTAGATGACTTAGATGACACAGTCTACATAATGAAAAACACCAAATGTGGAATCATTTTCTACTCAGAAAATCTATGGATGATTCTGAATATTGGGACTTTTTCCGTCAAAACAGGCAACGCATCACAGCTGGACACATTGGGCTGGTTTCGGGGTATGAAGATCCCCTCGACTAGTGCCGTGACTATTTTGGCTCAAAGATTTTGCCTGTCAAACCGCCGGACAGATGTAGAACTTATCATGGGTAACCTTAGAAACACATAGAACACATAAAAGTAAACATCACTAGTTAGCATTGGTTGGTGGTTTTAACCATCTTGAAAAATATTAGTCAATGGGAAGGATTATCCCGTATATTATGGAAAATACAAAATGTTCCAAACCACCAACCAGATCATATCCTCCCCCAAGCTAATGCATAGCAGGGGAAACATTCACCAAGTTTCACCTACTGTATCTTTATACTAACGAATAAGAACAAATAGTGTATCGCCACCTTTCACCCGATGGCCATATCCTTGTCCTAAAATTGGGGTCCCATGAAGAAGCGCAAATTTCTGGTCTCCTGTATCCCTGAGTATCCGTGTGTCCTCCATTTAAATCATTTCAGAGCAAAGCCCAACCATCCATGGTGTATAGCCATATATCATTTATCCCCAAAAAAATGGAAAGGGAAGATTCACAGGAGCCCCCGCGAATCACAGGAGGAAAACCAAATGCCCGAGCCGTTAGTGATTCCTCTGCAATCCGTCGTCGTAATTCTCATATTGGTCCAAAATATATTACACTGGGTTTCAAAGATAGTAGTCCCATATATATACAATAATGCATTATATGTATATATATATATATTATGCGCATATGTACATATAGTGTGTGTATATAAATACATATATACAAATAGATACCTTTAATATAGTGGTATCCCATTAGATTCCAATTATTTTCCATGGTGCTACTATTTTGTGTTGGTTTCCCTAGATACCACAAATCCCTGAAACAGGAAACATCCTGTCGCTGGACAACCTGAGTGTCCCTGAGTATCAAAAGATTAAATCCAATCAATTTCCTATTTATCATGGTTAAGTCCCTATTTAGAAACCGTGTATATATATATACATATCATATCATAATATACCATAAGATATGTATATATATAATATATATATATTATATATATATGGTATATTATGGTATATTATATGTTTGGGGTACATAATAAACCATAGATATATACCAAAATATTAGATTTCTGTACCCCAATGCATTCTTCCCCAACTTCCCTTAGCCAAAAAAACAGCCTCAATGGCGTCAGGGTGAGGGATGCCGAAACATGAAGACCTCTGCGGAGTGGGGGAACCATTGGTTTATCGTTCAGGATGGGATGGGAGGTTTCTATTTCTTCAAAGCAGTTGATCATAATTCAATCTATAGTTGATCAGTTACGATATTTTGGAAAATGATGTTCTAAGTATATGTCCGTCACTATAATTCAATTTTTAATCAGTCAATATCTTTCATCTTTCAAAAAGTCCAAAGCTTAGCTATCGGCTGACGAAAACATGAGAGTTCTATCGAATGGGGGTTTCCTGAAATTATCAACCCAAATGATGCAAGTCATTAGACCATGACTTAGTATTGAGACCCATGCTTTTGGGATCTATTTGAAGAAACCATCAACATTTAGTTCTTTCACACATTTACCCTCTGGTAAACTAACATAACTATGGAAAATCATCATTTTCAATGGGTAAATCCACTATAAATGGCCATTTTCAATAGCTATGTTAGTTTACCAGAGGGTATCATAACATATCTCCACGTTGTCTCGAATTGTTGCAAGCCTCACGGATCTCAGGAGTGCCATCCCAAAGGCTGATCTGGCACAGAAATTCTGATGAATCAACCAATAGCCACGATAGATACTAAATGTTTACTACTATAGAAACAACACATCCTAATATCAACAACATATAAGAACATTAATCATATGAGGAACAGCATTTGTTTGTTGTTGTTCTTGCTGATACTTAAATGGATTCAATTCCTATATCCCAATCAGTGGACTCGGTAGACTGGGATTACACTTCCATTGGTGTCTACCAAAGCCAATGCCATTTTTACCGGTTGCTTACACCATGACTAAATGGGTCACTCAAAAAATCATCCCAATTTTTTTTAAGGGTATGGGTATACCATGTTATACCAAATAACAATTCCCAATTCTGAATGAGAATGGTTTAGTGTTGGGTTTGCCTCATGAAACTAGCACACATGGGCAGGTACCCTCAATCAACGGATAACAGTGGCATGGGTAAACCATGGTAAACCCATGAAGTCCTCCATATTAACTTATTGTTACCTCTGGGAATTAAAAAACATCGCCATGGACAATCACTCATTTACTTCGATGATTTATCGTTTTGGATGGCCATATTTTCATATATTTTCCATGGCTATGTTAAACGAAGGAATACCCTCTGGTAAACTAACATAGCTATGAACAATCACTGTTTTAAATAGGAAATTCATCTACAAATACTACAAATAGCTATATAAATGATTATAAATGATCCGTTTTCCATGGCTATGTTAGTTTCCTACATGATGGTTTCAATCGACGTTTTACATGTCAATTTTCGGCACGAGCTTTCGGTCGACGTCCCTGAGTCCCTGAGTCCCCTGGCTGGCCACAATGTCGAAACCTTGGGGTTAAACATCCCCGGGAACTGGGGAACTGTGGAGCAGATTTCCTTGGGACATTTGTGAAGTTGTATTGACATATATATATATATTGAAATCAAATAGATTCTATTGAGTCTCTAGGTATCTGGAATACATTGGCTAATGTTTTACATTGATTTTTCGTACATGGCTACGGGAATAACCAATCAGCATCATTGGTTGATAGTATATATGAATTACGACAAGTGACACGCACTATATATAAGTATTATACATTGATATGTGGTTATTTTGCCGACACAACCTAAAATCGATATGGCTGCTACAAACTAGAGATCTGCATTTAAGGTATGCGATAACCCTGGTTTTCACACCAGAGTAGCTTGTGTATCGCTGGATATTCATCCCTTCAACCCTCAGTGACTGATAGGTTTTGAATGGTTTTGACCCATCCGCAAATACTCCCTGAAATATCTGGGATACATTGCCATTGAGATTCGATATTTCAGGAATATCGATCGTGATATCCCAGTTATCGTTGGTTAAGGTCCCCTCAAAAAAAAACAAAGCGCGGATGTCTCCATAAAAAAATAATCATCGGTCAAGATTTAAGATCATCCTCACCAGGAGCACAACGGAAAACACCGCAGCAAGGATACCCTCTTGTTGTTGTAACAGTTTTGCTATTGAACATGGTCCATTTATCATTTATATATATATATATCTATTGAAAGTTGATTTCCCTATTTCTATCATCTATAGTTGTTTTTATATTTAGTTGATGTCCATTTATCATTTAAAATACCCTCCAGTAAATTAACATAGACCCTGGCAGATAGGGGTTGAAAGATTAGTTTCCTCTAAAAAATGGTGATTTTCAGGGTCTATGTTTATTTACCAGAGGGTATATATATATACTATATAAGAATGGAGATGTTCCATATGTTACAGCCAGGATCACTTTTGGACAGAAACTGTTCACCGCCGACTCTCTGGAGCGGAAATCTGGTGAGCCATCTGTAACGGTTATGAAATCATGACTGATTAATGGTGGATATCATTAGTAATAAACCATATGGATCCATAATATAATATAATATAATATAATTATATCCACCATATCTGTTATAGTATACAATCTCAAAAACCATCTATGTTGGAGTGAAATCTGTTGGGATATAATTAATTATAATTATAGTATATGATGATGGTTATTATATGTTATCACCAACATCTGATGGTTATTGCTATACAAACAAATCAGACAAAAAATCCTGGACAGCCATGTTGGGATGGTTCGCCTAAAAAAAAAACTGGATCAGTGTGATCAATGTTTGATCATAGCTTTGTCTGAGAATATGGTATCTCAAAAATATTAAAAAAGGTGGTGGTTGATCATCAATCTCCCCACGAAAGTGGCAAGTTTAGGAGTACCCCTGAGTAGCCCGTTTCTGGTGAGCAAAGTGCAAGTTCTGGTTGGTCAAATGATTCTTTCATGCGTTAAACCCATCCCACTTTCACCCCAGTGATATGGGTTTGTCTCAAAGCAGCGGAGTGACCCCCAGATCAACCATATTTTCATGGTCAAAATAAAGTTTCAAAGCCTTCAATGGGAATACCTATTTCCGAACACACCCAACAGCTCGATTAGTATTGGTTCATCATTGAGTTATACATATATATATACATATTATATATATATATATATTATATATATATCCCCAAATACATATATATATACCCCTATCATTATCCCCATGTTTGCAGGTTTCATCCCCGATATCATCTCCCCCAGCGAATCTTCTGCAAGATGCTCTTGCACCCATTCCGCCAGAAAGGCGTAGGGCTCTCCTCTTTCAGTACCCCAACCGGCAGGTGAAAACGGGAGGCTTATCCAACCATTAAGGGACCCAAAATGAATAAACAACTATTAACAAACCCCAAATCAACAAATCCAACTCTAAACCATGTTTTTTGATGTTTTGTTGGGTGGTGATTGAGAGGGAAAGCATGGGAAAGCGGTTACAGTACAGTAAGTATTATGTTGTGGATCTTCTGTTTGAGTTGTTGACTAGTGACTATGCAACCGGTTTTGGAGGCCAAAAGGCGACCATTTTTGGGCCGCTCAGCCAGTGTCCTCAGGATGTTAATGTGCTATAAATCCCACGATTTCTCACCTCATTTAAATTGCCGTTTTGGTCGCCTCTCTGTACCTGATGTACCTGTTTCCTCTCTGCTTGTCCAGGGTGAAAAATGAAACAATGCTTCCCAATGGTTCATGGTGGTTCATGGATTGATACCCCTTCCGGAAAAAAAAAAGTGGCTTTAGTTGCTTGGAAGCTAATATTCCTTGTGCAGTGGACCTTCAACCAAGGTTCACCGAAAAATACGTAGTTTGACCGTCCCCAAAAGGAAGACCATACAAGACTGGAAGGACAAACATCTATAGAGAGGGTTGATCATCATGGCTGAACACCTCGAACATTGGCAAGCAAACATTGGGGATTTGATATGTGTATACACATATATATATAATTAAATAAATATATATATATATGTATGTATGTTGAATTCTCCATGGCAGTGTTTTGAATTGATTGATTCCATGACATTCCATCTCAACATCGCGTGATTGACCAAACAAAGAACATATGCACATTTGAAGAGCAAAAACACGTTGCATCGGAAATCAAACATCAACTGGCATCATCATCTGAGGATTCAAAATAAAAAACATGTGGAGGTTTCAAGTCATTAGACCATTTACCCTCTGGTAAACTAATATAACTATGGAAAATCACCTCTTTTAATGGGCAAATCAACTATAAATAGCCATTTTCAATAGCTATTTTGACACAACCAGAGGGTAGTATTGAAACCTATGGATTTGGTGATCCCCGTTGCAGCCTGCCGGCATCTCTTTGCAATGAAGTTCCCAGCAGCCAGGCTCATAGCCCTGGCGTTCAGAGTTCCACCAAGTTCCATCCCAACATGACAAAAAGGTTCCATCCCCATTCAGTGGCGGATCGGTGTGTGGAAACCAAATGGTTATAACTATGGTTACTAACCGTTGATCTGGTGCTTATATTTCACAATGGTTATACCAATTTTTAAGTGACCTCAATTGCATCCCAAGTAGGCCTTTGGAAGTTGATGATCTATTTTTGGCCGCAGAGGTGGCCGTGATGAATGGGTATACGTATTGGCTGGAGTCAAGTCCGGCGGCAGAAACAATTTCGATGGTGTCCTACTTAAAGTGACCAACATATGTTGTATGATACCTTAAGTAGGTTCCCAACACCTTCAACCTATGTTCAACCTATGTTCAACCTATGTTCAACCTATGTTCAACCTATGTCCATACTGGGGTTCCCAAGCCCAAGATCTTCAACCTCGACCAATGTCCATATGATACATACACTAACAAGTACTGAAGTATGATGTGCCTCAGGTTCAGTTCCGAATCATAAACTTTAAACTTGCCCATCAACAGCAAAGCATTTTGTCTACTGATGGACAATGGTTCAAACCACAAGGTTGTAAAAAACTTGGACAACAAATCGAAGCAAACAATTGGTTTCAAGTTGTGGAATTCAAATTCCCAAGATCACAAACAACGAGATATCACATGCAATATATTTCCAAGATATCAAAAACAAATATATATAATAAGTCAAGATCCTCAAACTCATTCTGCTACCGGAAATCGAGGGCTATCACCAAGGTCCCAAGCCTCCCGCATCAGGAAGGCTTCACCATGGTTCTGGAAGACCAACCTGGCTCTGTCTTGGCTCCAAAAGCAACGCAGGTTTGACATTTCTTTACATATGTTTACATGGAAGAAATCCTGCACCACCTTGGTTGGTTAAACCCCTATAAATAATGGGATAAAACCACCTATCGACTGGTGCAGGATTTCTTCCATTCACAGTATGTTTACATGATTTCTAAAGTTTTGTTTGAATTATTTTAACACAAGTTGTGCGGTATTGACCATATCGACCCACTTTGATAGGCAAGACACCAGAACGGATTGGTTTATGGCCAAACTGCTGTTGTGATCACACTATTTAAACATATTGTATAGTGAATTATCATGAATTATCATTATTACTTATTACCATTATTATGATTTGCTAGCGGTATTAAATCCATATATTATCATGGTTGTCACGATTGTCAGGATTGTCATGATCATCATTATCATTAAAATTAGCAGCATTATGTTTATTGTCCATTCCATTGTCATCTTTGTTAGGTCAATTATTGCTATTGCTATTCTTCTTGGAAATCGCTGGTTGCCCAAAAACGTTAGCCAGTTTCAGCCTACAGCTGGATTAGCGTCTGCAAAGCCCTCTTGGCTTGCTGAGTGATATGTGTTATGTTTGCCTAAATGTTCTACTTTAACGGGTTGAATATCGCGGAGAATGAACTGGCAACATCATTACTTAGAATATTTACCCTCTGGTTATTTAACATAGCCATGCAAAATGGTACATTTATAGATGGTTTAGCTATTAAAAAAATGTGATTTTCCATGGCTATGTTAAATAACCAGATGGTAACCAATATGATTGAACATGATTCACATGTTTTGCCCATATCCCATGAACTTCCTGGGAACAAAGGCTTCCAGTCAAGGTTTCTTTGGACCATCGCAGATCCAAGCAGTTTGAAGATGGGATATGATGAATTGACCATATTGACCATACTTAACATCGCTTGAATAGATATTTTTTTGATTAAATACAGTGCTGATATATATATACATATATATATATATATGTCACAACGATATAGTTCGACATGAGTGTTTATCAGTTTCCTGCCATGGTCCACCAGTCTAAGACGGCTTTTTCCACAACCCAAATGCTTCATGCTAAAAAGTCCCATGTTCCATATCGAAAATATACCACACATGGAGAATATGGTTTGTCCAATTAACGAGCTTTTCCAACATTATCGTTTGCGATGTTCCGGACTTATGATCTTATGTGACATTATGTGATTAATATATGGGATATTCGAACAGATTCCTGTGAGGATAATGTCGAACATTCCATATTCTACTCCAGGATGACTATATATGAATGATTTCAGCTTCGCCCAAAGCTTTCCAGGAAACCACACCAGACTCGAGTGGCCGTGGGGTCCTGGAATGGACGCAGTTGATGTTAAAAGTGGGCGATCACCCTGCTTACCTAACACAAATAGCCATATATATATATATATAATCCACATTATTTTTTCCATAGGATAAACTATCAAGTAATGGTTACGCAAAGAAATATACTGTAGGATCTGGGTTTCGAGCAATTCACAAACCCAAACAAGGTACTTTTGGCATGATTTGCCTTTATCAAGAACCGGTTGGGTGCTTAAAGATAGACGATAAACATCGATAAACCACCAGGTTTGTGATGTACCCTCCTCTAGACGTTTACATGTTTAGTCCCATGGGATGTCCCAATCTTTGGGACACAGGAGTTTCCAGGTCGAGTAATGCCTCGTTTTTTTTTTTTAATGGAGAGGATAGGATGTGAAAGAAACATATATATATATAAAAAGATAGGATAGACAGAGAGGGAGAGAGAGAGAGAGAGAGAGATAGAGAGATAGATACAGACAGACACACAGAAAGACAAACAACAAGACAGAAACAAAAACAGGCGGATTGATTAGATATATAGATTAGATAAATTCAATAGATTCCATAATATGTGTAATTATTTATATAGTGTATATATATATATTCGATTCGATAGATTAGATAGACTAGATAAGTAAGATAGATTCGATATATTAGATCGATTTCATCTACTAGATAGATTAGATAGATTGAATAAATTGTTTTATTTTGATCGCCTATCAAATAAATTTTCGAGACAGATAACCCCATCCGTATAGCTCCAAGCCATCGGCCACGAACTTTCGGCCCCCACCCAGTACTCAAAGTTTCGAGGCATGGTTCTCCGCCCTTGGTGATGGGATTTAACCATCAACAAAAAAGGATTGTTTGCAGGGTTTAATGGGGATGTAATGGGACATATATATATATCTATATACATATATATATAATATAGAGCGAAACTGAGACATGACATGGTGTGAAACTTGGAGTTCCACAACTCATCATATAACCAACCTATGGAAGCTTGTGTGAATAATGATGGCTTATTCGTGTATCTATACTTCATGGGGATGACAATGGGCATTATTAAAGAGGTATATTGGGAATATACTTGGAATACTTAGAGTTATGGTTTTGGGGTGTCTGAAAATCACTGACATGGCAAATTTTGAGAGGGTGGAAGGAAGACTAAACATCAATTTTAGTGGTCCTATATTTTCAGACAACCCCATATATTCATGGGGATATATTCGAACGATAGTGAATTTCCACAACCAAAATAGGGATGATTTGAGCAATACAAGTGGTGGCAGAATGGGGTTTTGTCACTCAATATGTTATCCACACTCCGGCAATTTAACACTGCTATGGACAATTCCCCGTTTTGATGATGTAAATCACCCATGGATGGGATATGTTCCATGGTTACATTGCCAAAGGGTAAACGGTGCAATTAGGGGGCAGAAATTAAATTAACATGATTAAACTTGATTAAACTTGATTAAACTTGATTAAACTTGATTAAACACTATTTTTGATGATGGTGGCCCACCACACATACAAACACACACACTGCTTAGGTTGATTTGATGATGATGAGAGTAGAACTTGCCGTCGCCTGATTTCCTAAGTCACCTTCGATGGGGCACGGTTGCAAACGGTGAAATTCGGGCAATCGATTCTTGCCAAAGGACTCAAAAACAAGGTAATAGAACAGCTTGTGCAAAAGTTCGAACCAACATTGCAGGTACGTCAACCCAGCGTCCCAGGTTGATATCACTGTGACATCAGAAGCGTCTTCGTTGGCTGGAGACTTCTGATTCACACTCCAGCCCCCTGCATGTCTGAATTAAAATTCAGTTCTTATTGTCGCCACATATTGTCTTCCTTGCTTCGTTGTACGAAATTGTAAAATATCCGTATGTTATAACGGGTTTCACACACACACAAGCCCCGTAGGGCGATGACGAAATTACATGAGTAGTTGAAATGGCAAGCTCACACTGTCGCTCAAGTGACAGAATGGCAGTCCTGAAACTTCACAAAACACTAATGGAGGAGCGAAAACTCTGTGTGAAATGCGGTACTTCATGAGACTAAGCCGCCAACCATTGTTTGTGGTGAATTCAGTTCAGTGAGCAAAAGCATGTGAGGTCCGGGCTGATAACTCTCGTCAGGTTGTTATGTCGAATACTCTTATAAAGAAATTAAGTAGTTAAAATGACAGACGCACATTGCCACTCAAATAACAGAATCGCTGTCCTGAAATGTTACGAGACACTAACTAACAGAGGAGTGAAAACGCTGTCTGGATTTCGGTATTTCATAAGACTAGGCCGCCGACCATTGATCGTGGTGGATTCAATTCAGTGAACGAAAGCGTCCGAGGTCCGGGCTGATAACTCTGGTCAGGTGATTATGTCGAATATTTTTGTCGAAAAATCTTCTGTGTCAAAAATCTTGAGGCATTTAGAACTCTGAAACCTAAAGCATGATTGGGGGTAACTGAGATCCCGACACCACTCAGAGCACTATACAATCGACGTCTAACATGGAGAAATTGTGACAGCTGTTGTGGACAAGGGCAAAAGAGATCAATTCATGTTATTAGAACCAGTGTAGAGTAGAGGTAAATCCGATGGTCTGTAAATGGCGACAGACTTGAACCCAACATTGAAAGGTTTGAACTGATGCAGCCATGAATAAGTTACTACACACAAATCACATTCTCATGCGTATCTCTATTTGGCAAAAACAACAGAGTGCGACAAGTTAAGAATGATTGAGTAAGCTGTTCACTCCTTTTTGTTAAGCGAATCTGAAAACATCACGCGCTTGTAAATGTGGATGGACTTGGTGGATAACAGTCATTATGGTCTTGCGTGCGGAATCTGTGGTCACAAGAGCAGAGTCTCGAGATGATATCAGTCCAATGAGATCTTGAATTTGAGGTAGATGAAGATGTTGTGGATACACGCCCGTGAGAATGAGTCGAATACGAGCAATAAGACCACTGAGGGCGGTACGTGAGACACCACAGCCAGAGCTGTGTCTCAAGGGTTTGTTCCATGGTAACTGCAAAGTAATGGTATGTTGTAGGCAATCAATTTTGTATCCCAGGGCTTCATCACCAGGTACTGGTTCCAAAAGGATGGGATTTGTATAGAAATCCAGTCTCCAAAATAGGTCAAAGTCCAGACTGGCGCGATCGATGTCTGTTGCTAGAATCAAGCGGTTGTCGACATACCGATGATGAAAATTCATGTTTGTGCGAAAGACCTGAAAATAGGAATGAAAAATCCATTCTCTGAGTAATGCAACTGCTGAACAGAAAATGGGTGCCCATTGGGAACCCATACTTGCACCACGACGCTGTTGAAATACTGTGCCTCCAATACTGAAATAACTATGATTCAAAAGGTATTGGCTGAGCGGTTGTATATGGGCAAGACAAATTGGTCGGTATTTGTGGCTATGTGACCGCCAAAATCCACGAAAAATTCGTAAAGTGCGTTCCGTAGTCTCTTGATGAATTTTGAGAAAAGAGTCAAATGTTTGTCCTTGAAGTTCACAAAACCGACACACAGCAAATTGAACAGCCTGTAACATACGAGAATGATCAACTTGATTGTAAAACCCAGCAATGTCTTCTTGTTCCACAGTGAGTTCACCATAAGCGTAGTCTTGGTGGGAAAACAACTTGGCAATTGCATGTAGCACCGACTTGATATCCGTAACAGATAGGAGATCAGAATATACAACTTGCAAAATTTCATATAACGCTGTTGCTAGTGCACTTCCAATTGGTCGACACCATGCTCGAGAATAATCCACAATTGGTCTTGCTTTTTGAAAAAACCTGGATGGTTTTGGGAGAATGTATGCGGTGCTGAGAGTGGATCCAAATTTGAAGCCCCATTTGTAGTGTTGCATAATCCAGTCAGGGATATTTTGTTGAATGTGCTTCAATAACGGAATAGGATACGCTTGGCAGCGAAGAAATACCGAAGTATCCAGGAACGTTCGGTTCATCAAATATTGCCACTGAGCAGGACAGTGTAATGTCAAAGAATGCGGAAAATGATCTGAGGGCGAGACTACAAAAGAACGTAAGCGATGTTGAAGTCGCTGAATGTGTTTCTGGGTCTGTCCGAGAGAATTCTGTTTATAGATCTTCCACTGTGTCAGGATGAAAGCTTGCCAATATTGGATCAATGAATGTGATAGCTTCCATCGATGCAGCCACTGTTCGAATTGATACGTGTTATGGTGAAAGAAGTGTCTCCATGATGGTGAAATCTCTTCAGCCATATGTTGATGGAGAAATGCTTCATCAGGAAAGCATTCTTGTGCAAAAACAGAAATATGTTCGGTTTTTCGTTCACGTTGTCGAATATGCAAAGGAAAGAGGTGGCATGTACACAAAGGTTGCTGTTCAGGTGTCCACCATTTCAACACTTTTCGAAAATTGAAAAATGTTTGTCCCAACGTCCGATTCTTAATGCGCACAAATGGTGCCCGTACTTTGTGAAACGGAGGGAAATTGATGGAATAATGATGAAAAGTGAAATTCAGAAGCCACTGTTTTATCGCATCGTTCATGTCGTCAGATAGAACTTGAAGTCGCATATAGGCACATTGGGTGGCGGAGATTCCGTTCCCTTAAATCTGAGGATCAAACGAAGTTGTGATTGACAGCGTGTACGAAAAGGTTCTCCCAATTGATGGGAAAGTCTCCAAAGCAAGAAAAGATATTGTATGTCTGTTTGTGATGAACGCAGTAATTTGGAAACATGAAACTTTTCGATGGTGTCAGAGCCTAAACGAGTGAGTAATGTGTAGATTCGATCCGCAGAATGAAATCTGAGGCCCAAAACGCACCGCTGATTTGTAGCCGTTCGCTTCAAATATCGACGACAAAACTTTCGAGTCTTTTCAAGAAAGGGTTTGGAGACTGAGGGCCCGAACCGCTGCTTCCCAATATGGAACTTCTGTAAGAAAGGCTTGATCCATGGCCAATTG